AATTTCTTGCTAATTGGTGTCCCATTCTTACCAATTAGTAATTATAATGATTTACCCCCAACAATAACGGATGCACAGGACCCTGTACATGTATGTCTTGAGGGCCTGACAAGGACAGCTGTCTAGTCCTTCGGATGAGACGAAAAACCGAGGTCCCATGTATATACTGAAATGCACGTAAAAGATCCCCTGGCAGTTGGAATTCGATATAAGAGTAGGCGATAGTGCCGCTGCCTGGGCAAAAATTCCCTCATAGCACACTGTATGGCGTATGGCCGTCTTCATTAGCCCAGTATAGGAGCAGAACAGTAGGACGTTAGTTAAACCCCATTTCATTTCATTTCATTTTGTATGTTTTGATAGGGGGGTTGGGTGGCTGAATGGTTAATGTTTGCACTTGGATCAGAATGTCTGTCATTGAATCAAGTGGCGGGGTTTTGATACATGACAAGAAATATGGTCGCTTGTCCAAACTCATGGGTTTTCTCTGGTTTCCTTCCTACTGCTAAAGACCCCTACCCATAAGCGAATTATTGAAATAAAATTGAAGCATTTGTTAGTCCCGAAATGACCTAGGTTGTGTCGAGTGGACCTTAACCCTCCCTCTCTCTCTCTCTCTCTCCTCAAAACTATTTAAATCTCTTGACTTTTTAGCCAATAAATTTTATTAATCTCTATATGTTTGTATATTATCTGCCCCTGGTTTGGTTTAAACAGTATTTTATTTCGAAAAAAAATATTGAACAGTTTAAAGGCATAAAGAATAGGATACAAAAACAAGCCATGGAGTCCTATATTACATTGTGGTAGGGTGTATAATGTACAATTGTAAGTAATAATATGGCAGAGACAAAGCATAATTACACTATTTTAAGGAAGTTAATAAATAAATTAAATTTGTACCTCAAAGTTGTATTTTAGCCTGAGAAAGCCTTTTGCTGTTGTTGCTGGCAACCAATGTCTTTAAAATTCTGTAGTTAAATAAGTTACATGTATAGTATATTACAGTGAAGATCATGTGATCAGTTACGTAACAGATGATTATCTTAATCTATAATAAACCTGATATTAATTACATGTATGGTGTAATTATCCATGGTAAGAAATATCTATGTTTTTTCTAATTTAATGCTACCAATCTGATTAAAACACAGATCATATTTCCTTTAAAATTAAACCATATGTTGGTCCTGAAATGACCTACTTTGTGTCCAGTGGACATCAACCCCCCTCTCTCTCTCTCTCTCTTTCTTTCTCTCTCTCTCTCTCTCTCTCTCTCGCTCTTTCTTTCTCTCTCCCTCTCTCTTTTTATCTCTCTCTCTTTCTCTCTCTCTTTCTTTCCCTCTCTCTTTCTTTCTCTCTTTCTCTCTATCTCTCTCTTTCTTTCTCTCTCCCTCTCTCTTTTTATCTCTCTCTCTCCCTCTTTCTCTCTCTCTCTCTCTCTCTCTCTCTCTTTCTTTCTCTCTCCCTCTCTTGGATTTTCAATAGGAGAATCTAAGCTTATTTCGTTTCTTCTTTTAAAGACCACGTAAGATCAAAAATCTAAATTACATGTATGTATAGCCCATGGTTACTATATCAACTTTACGGCAACTTCTCACCAATCTGATTAAAATTAAGTTGATGATGAGTTAGTTGTATTTTACGTCCGCTTCCGCTGTTAACGTTCAAGTGTCCGACACGCCAAAACGCTTTTCAATTTTTCAATTACGACCTTAATCCGGTTGATTGGCTGGTGACGTCACAGGCACTACACTACACATAGGATATACATTATCTATACAATATCTCACCGTCTGTACAATATAGCACTATCAATACACACGGCAAGTTGACAAGCGTCTGTTGACGGTCCAATTACCACGTGACTGGCCTAATCATAATCACCGAATTATCGTCTTTCATTTGTGATTTGAATATTTTAGAGTGAATTTCAAATGCCGTATCATGCCGTAGATCCATTTAAGCTGCCTTTGTTTAAATAGGCCACTTGTCAAATGAAGACGACTCAAGAAATTAGCGCATTTACCGGTAATTTGGATAACCCCGTAATACTTGATGCCGTAGATCCATTTAAGCTGCCTTTGTTTAAATAGGCCACTTGTCAAATGAAGACGACTCAAGTAATTTGGATAACCCCGTAATACTTGAAAAACCAAACTTTAGTGCAGAAATACAAATGGCGCCAGTCATTTGTCTATATATTCATTATTAGCTATATATAATAATAATAACCATTTCTATACATAAAGAACAACTTTTATCGTAACTCCATTTGAAATTTACAGTGAATATGGAATTTTCCGATGACTATGCATAACATGTACAATAGATCGCCCTCATTTCTCAGCCAATCAACGCTGGGAATCTTATTACCATTTACGGTTACTTGTACTACGGGTGTAGTAAATGAGGTTAAACTTCGGCACGAAAATTGCACGGGATTATACGTGGAGTTCCTGGTGCCGTTTGGTGAGTGATTAAACTGTCAATGCAATTGTAAAATACTTTTATTAAAAAGAAGATAAACGATTGTTGTTTAAAAGCCAATCACCAAATAATACGAGGCTACTTGATTACAAAAACACTGGTGAGCAATAATTATTGGGTAAATAATAATTATAAACAACTGATGAGTAAAGATTAATGATTTTATACAATTAATGTGTGGGTGTATGATTCTACCATTAGTTCGTTCATGAGGTATTATGCACACGTTCCACTTAGAGTGATGTCTTTGATCTGGCCGGAGTAAAAAAAGATAATTACCTAATCAACATTCTTAATCCCACTAACACTCACTGCTAACACCGACGTGTAATTTATGACCCATGCCTGTATAACTTTTATAGTCGGATTGATTAATTAATGACAGATATTAACGACACTACACTTTATGTGGAAAAGCGAAGTGCACGCAGTAAAAAACACATAGCTGGACAGGTATATTATTTACATATTAAAAGTGTTCGTCCAATAAGTTCCATATTGTAAAAAAATAATTAAGAGTTCAAGACTTCAAAGTTTAAAAGTTGTAGGCAATCTAAATTGGATCTTAAATTAAAATGAATTACAAAACGAATTATTCCGTAGTCAATTTTTTTTATTTAATTAAGAACTAAGGGAGATTAAGGAATCAGTCAGGCGTTAATGAGTACACACGCCGGCTGTATATAGGTAATTAAGGAATAAACATTCCGAATATGCATTCGGTCACTGTGACGTCACTGGCGTCTGAGGGGATTAAGAGTGTTTTCGATAATTGGCAAAGTCGTTTTTATGGGAGGTCCATTTTTACGACTTTGAGTGAAGATAACTGAATTAATTTCAATCAGATTGGTGTGAACTTGCCGTAAAGTTGATATAGTAACCATTGGCTACACATATCCAAAAGTTCCCAAACCCATCTTATGTGCACTTTAAAGTTCAAAATTATGTTTTACTTGTCTTTACTACACTAGGATCTGGAAGAGTTGTTATATAACCTGCGTTCTGGATGATGTGAGTGATAAGCCAATGAAACGGTCTGTTACGGCGAGTGTTTGGCGTGAGGTGCACGGAACTGTGGGTAACCCACTAGAAACATCAATGCTGATTGGTTAATCAAATGAAATGAAATGAAATGGAGTTTAACGTCCTACTGTTCTGCTCCTAACCTGGGCTAATGAAGATGGGCATACGCCATACAGTGTGCTATGAGGGAAATTTTGCCCGGACAGCGGAACTACGGCCTACTCTTATATCAAATTCCAACTGCCAAGGGATCTTTTACGTGCAATCCAATGTGTACACGGGACCTCGGTTTTTCGTCCCATCCGAACGACTAGACAGCTTTCCTTGTCAGTCCCTCCGTCCTGCATCACTGACAAGGGAGAACCACGCCGGAAAATCTGGATGAACTTTCTCGGCCAATGCAGCGATCGAACACCCGACCTCCAGGCTAGCGAGCTAGCGTCTTACCCACTTAGCCACGTGATCCCCAATCAAATGTCTGACATCATAGGGTCATATGACCTCTAATGCAACCTTCCAGTACAACCGGCCAGATCTTCATGCAGTGTAGGCCATCAAAAGTATAAAAAAACAAAACAAAATATAGATCTGTATTTTAATAAATAGCAATAAAAATAATAAGTGTCCGTAAAACGATGCCGTCAGGCATAATTTCTCTCAGAAAAGGTAGACTTTGCATCCCATTTCATTATTTTAAAAAATAAAAATATGTTCGTTTCAAAAATAATTTTGAGCTTCTTATAATATATAAAGGAGACGTCAATAATTTGCAGATCTTTGCTGTTTAAATAATTTTCGATGCAAAATTAACTGCGCATATGATGTACCAATAAGATGGTGTATGGGAAACCTGAAACAAATCTAGCAATCCATCGCTCAGATGCAGAATTTGTAAGATTCTCTGCAAAATCCCCAAACTAAATTGAAGTAGGGTGGTTCTTGGATTTTTTTTTAGATTGGATAGCCAAATGGTTTAGCGTGTGCACGTTGTATCATAAGGTCTGGCATGGTTTCAATTCCCCGGTTGTACATGACAAGAAGTAGGGTCGCTTGTCCAACCTCGTGGGTTTTCCCCGGGTCCTCTGTTTCCCCCCCCCCCCGCTAAAGATCCCTACGCTCAGGCGAATTATTGAAATAAAATTAAACCATATGTTAGTCCCGAAATGTGTCGAGTGGACATTAAACCCCATCTCTCTCTCTCTCCCTCTTTGATTTTCATTTGGAGAATCTAAGCTTATTTCTCATATTTTTATATTCAGATCTTTCTATTATATAATTTTTCTTTTGAAAAATGATAATACCTTGCTAATAATGATCCCTTATAAACGGACACTTACTGTTATTATAATCTCAAATGTCATGAAAACTGTGTGTGCTTTCCTGAATGTTATTGTCAATATTTACCCCTGGAGTTACCTTTCTTGACCAGCTGACGAAATGTGTAGTCTTTGTTGTCCGGCCATATGTTAATGTAAATTGTCGTAGCCTGTCGGACTGGTTTAGTCGCGGCTCTTTGTTGTTATTTTGATGCTTATGTTTTGCCATCGTAAGGTATTTTATTTCTGAAAGAAACCACAGACGAGATAGACATTACAGAACAGGTAAAAAACGACCATTTATTGGTAACCTCTTACATAAAAATCTTTGTGGTAACTCAGTGTTATTTTAGTAATGTAAATTTGTCAATTTGTTTTGGACATCTGAAGAGCACTAGTGACAATTATGGCTATGAAATTTCACTTCTGTTTGACCTTAATATTACTATACGATATGCACAGATGCTCTGAAAAGCCACCAGTGCTAGGCGCTATAAAGGAAGCTTAACTAACCAACAATTATACTTGAAAAATGTTGTCTTTTATCAGGTCAGGTAAAAGTTAAAATATATTTAAGTCAAAGCAGGGTGTGTTCTGAAATTGCATAATAGCAGAGCAATGATAATACAATGTATATAAATGGGCTTATTTTGTAGCTATTTTAGTCTATATGGCATCAGATCCAGAACATATTTGACATACTTATCACATGACAATGACTAATTGTATTCCTAAAATGTCAATAAATCCAAGAGAATGTAAACTATATTGTACATGTATGTAATTAAAATATCCAGCTTATGTTTGACCTGTGACACACCAGGAGTTATTGGTGTTGTATTATAAACTGTAATATACAAGTTCAAATTCTTAACTCTTCCTCTATATTAAAGGCTCAATACCACTCTTGTTGTAACTGAATAATATGTCCCAATCTTTATTCTGGTCAACAAATTGTACTATTTTAGAATATTTCAATTAATTGATGATACAAATTTCATCTTAACACACCTTATTTAAAAATTTTGAAAAATTCAACATAATGGTTTGAAACGTCTAACGTAAACTTTTTCAAATGAAACTTCGATTTAAAAATATTTTCGAACCCTCTGGACAAGTAAAATAGGATGAAATGGAAAATTCACACAACAGGTAGGACACTTAAACATCTAGTACTTAGATAGAGATATTATTTATTTTCTGGGGCTTTCAAGCCAGCAAGAGTGTTATTGCCCCTTTAAAGAGAGAGAGAGAGAAGAGAGAGAGAGATTGGGTTTAACCTCCACTGACACAAACATATTGTTCAATTTTATTTCAATAATTCGCTTGCGCGTAGGGGTCTTTAGCAGTGGGAGGAAACCGGAAGATCCAGAGAAAACCACAAGGTCTGACAGCCAGCCCTACCCCATTTCATGTAGTACAATCGGGGAATCGAAACCACGCCAGTTGACTCAATGACAGACCTTATGATTGAACACGCACAATTAACTATTCGGCCATCCCCGCCCCCCACCCCCATCTCTATATTAAATGGAGTGTGGCTCTAATCTTTTGACCCTTAAAATTATAGACGAAATTGGGTCTAAAAGCGCATACATGTATTATTAATGTAATAGGAGTGTATATAAAGTGATTTATATTCATTTTTAAAAATAAATAGACAAGGAGTAGGGTCGCCTGTCCAACCCCGTAGGTTTTCTCTGGGTCCTCTGGTTTCCTCTGGGTCCTCTGGTTTCCTCCTACTGCTAAAGACCCCTACGAGCAAGCGAATTATTGAAATAAAGTTGAACCTTATGTTAGTCTCGAAATGACCTAGTTTGTGTCGCTTAGATGTTAACCTCTCTCTCTCTTTTCTCTCTCTCCTTCTCTCTCTCTCACTGCTAAAGACCCCTACACAAGCGAATTATTGAAATAAAGTTGAACCTTATGTTAGTCCTGAAATGACCTAGTTTGTGTCGAGTAGACCTTAAAACCCATGTCTCTCTCTCTCTCTCTCTCTGTCTCTCTCTCTCTGTACAAGATGACCAGGTTAAATTAAGGTGACCTGTCAACTGAGTAGGTCAACTGATTGATGAAGTGATCTGATGGCTTGACATCTTGTGTATCCTTGTTTGATACCAAACATAGCCTACCGACAACATGTATGACCTATGTACTAATCATATTGAACTTTCACATGAATTAGATCCTTGTTTCACTTTGCTGAACCTTAAGTGAGCGCTGTAATGACCAAAGTTATAATCTGATCTGTATGGAATTTATATGCTTCATTTAAATTTGCGTTTATTATGTCTAGAGTTAAGACCCTTGTTTCACTTTGCTGAGCCTTGTGCGCTTTATAACGACAAAAGTTATAATTCGATCTGTATGGAATTTATATGCTTCATTTAAATTAGTGAAACGAAGAAGCCTATGGAATTTAAGCAATTTGCGTTTAGAGTTATGGCCTTTGTTTCACTTTATTGTACCTTCTGAATGCTGAAACAACGAAATTCATCATCCAATCTGTATGAAATTTAAATGCATTATTAAATTAGTAAAACAAAAAAATCTCTAGAATTTTCAACAATTTCTGTAGACCTAAATCCAGAGTTAAGGCCCTTGTTTCAGTTTGTAGAACCTTATGAGCCATCAAACAACAAAAAGTATAATTTGATCTGTATGAAATTGTCTTGTGAATGCTCCCAATTACCTACAAAAGAATGAATGTGCAACAACCCTTGTCGACCACTCAGACTATTTAGCTGCAGTGGGCGTATGTTTCATTGCCTGGCAACCTATCTTTCTTTTTTTTTTTTTATCAAAGTTGAGTTTCGTGTGTGTCTCAAATAATAAGTTAGATAAAGCTGGGTCAGAAAGAAACCCTTGACTGAACCTCTGACTCATGCTTTATCCATCACAGAAAAGTCAGGTTAAAGTAGTGAGACAAAATACCTGCCCAACCTCGTGGGTTTTCTCCGGGTCCTCCGGTTTCCTCCCACTGCTAAAGACCCCTATGTGCAAGCAAGTTATAGAAATAAAATTGAACCACATGTTAGTCTCGAAATGACCTAGTTTGTGTCGAGTGGACCCAATTTCTCTCTCTCTCTCACTTAATAAAACGAGTTGCACCTTAGTACGATTGAAGTAAAATTATACCATATGTTAGTCACAAAATGACCTAGTTTGTGTTGAGTGGAGTTAAAACCCATTTCTCTCTCTCTCTCTCTTTCTCTCACTCTCTCTTCCTCCCTCCCTGAGACAAGATACATGTATCTTGCTTCTTATAATTCCAAGATAGTGACAAATAAACCTTTCACTCAAAATGATATAAGGACGGTAGAACCCCTACATGTATAACAATGTAAGTGAGTTTGGATCTGTGATGCATCTTCTTGGATCAATGATAAAGTTTAATAGACCCATTGTATCTGATGAAGGTCGATTAGATCTCGCCTAAATCAACCATTAGCCTCTGTTCTTTTTGGGTTAGGAGATCCTTTACTTCGACTTATTTAGATTCTTGAGAAGACACTTGTCACATAGAATTCTTCCATCTATCTCACCGCTTAGTTTTTAGCAGTATTTCTCCAATATTTCTAGTTTGCTAGGGAATAAAGCCATGAAATGAAAGGAGGTTTAACGTCCTACTGTTTTGCTCCGACTGGGCTAATGAAAAACACAACACAATCTGTAAGGAATACAATCACTGGTTTATACACATACAGCACAACATTTCGATAAGTATTCTCTTATCATTTTTAAGTACAAATGAAAATTAGTAAACTAAAAGGTAATATTTTTAGTCCTATTTATAGACAGTGCTATGAGGTAAATTTTGCCCGGACAGCAGCTCTATAACTTTCTCTTATATTGAATTCCAACTGCCAAGTGATTTTTATGTGCACGCCAATGTGTACATGGTACCTCGGTTTTTGATCCCATCCATGGTCTTTAGGGAGTTTTGCTCAAATTAGCAAACATTAAAGAACTTTGCAACCATGATCTTTGGCATTGCCCTGCTTTATTCATGCATTTTTTTGCTTAATTGCATGTGTGTCTTTTGATTAATTCCTGAATATTTTGAAAAAAAGTCTCATGAACGTGGAATACCAGATTTTGCCTCCTGTTTGTGATGCCATGACCTGATATTTTGGTGAAGATTCAAGCACAATTTGCTAAAGACCAATTTTTAATCTTATAATGTAATTGAAAATAGATAATTTTTGGGGTTTTTTTTTTCAGATAACACGGAGTGGATAAACAGTAGATTTATTGCACTCTTGAAGAGGCCAGTCAGATCATCCCGTGGATAAGATGCCCAGATCAAAGAAGCAGTCAAAGGCTGGTTTGGTTGGAAAGAAGGATGATCTAGACAGCAGCAAAAATGAAGGCCATTGGGTCCATGTGGAAGGAGCTGAACAACTTCATCAAGATAGCTGGGAGATAGTAGAAGATGATAGCTCTTTGGATGTTGTTCCACAAGAGGATAGTTCTGGAATTATTGATCCCAAGGATGATGAGATTGTTGACATTTTAACGGATAATCTTGCCGGAGGTTTGCTCCCATCTTCTGAATCAATGGATTTTCCTCAAGAAATGGAAAAAAGCTCAGATTTCCAGATTATTGAGATGAAAGATCCAAAAATGTTAGATGAAGAAGAGGAAGAAACTTCCTTTATTGACACTGATGAAATCTTGGAATCTAAAATTTGTCAAGGGGAACTGGTGAAGACAACTCCAGATCTACAATCATTGGAATTCTCCCAGCTGGTGAAGCAGGATTCTTCAGATAGTCAGTCGAGCAATCCACCAGTTGAACAAGTGGTAGAGGCAGGAGCCCAAGAATCTTTAACTGCTGAAGAAATGACTGCAAAAAATAAAGGTGATGGTAAAAAATCCAAAGGAAAGAAGAAGAAGGAGAAGAAAGTTGCTAATCAACCGAACATTGATGAACAGCTTCCAGAACCTTCTGTTGCACTTCAGCAAGTAGAAGCTGAGATTGTGCAGTCAGAAGGCTCAAGTTCAGGTGATAATCAGGAAGTGATCAGTGAACCTGCTGTGGCTGCTGATAAATATCCAGTTGATGCAGCTGATGTTAAAGGCAGCACCAGTGGAAATATTTCAAGCACAAAGCCCAAGAAACAAAAAGGCAAGAAAAACAAAAGTGCTGCCACAAGTCTTCCAGGTAAGGCTAAAGATTCTCTGAAAGAGGAAGAAAAAAATACTTCTGTAGAGGAACAAAAGCAGAAGAAAGAACAAGAAAGATTAGAATCGCTCTTAAAGAAGGAAGCTGAAAAATTTGTAACATATTCTAAAGAAAAGCAAGCTAGAGATCTCTCAACTTTATCAGTTCTTCTAGCAAAAGATGAAACTATTGACAGCTTGAGTGCAAATTCTGAAGATCTTCCAGCTGAAGTCCAGGAAGAACCTGCTGAGCTACAACCTGAACCCATTGTGTCTGAAACACCTGGGTTAAAATTAGATCGAAGATCATCTGATAGAGAATCGAGTGTTAGTGTTGATGATCTCGCAGATGTAGATGATGCAGGTAACTTTATTCTGCTACTGCATTATCTAAATGTATTTTATAGCTATCTCATTTATTCTTTGCATGTAGTTTTACTACTTTATTTAAAAGATCCCTTGTTAGTGATGCAGGACGGAGGGACTGACATGGGCAGCTTTCTAGTCATTCGGGAGGGGCGAAAAACCGAGGTTCCGTGTACACATTGCATGCACGTAAAAGATCCCTTGACAGTTAGTATTCGATATAAGAGTATGCCATAGTGACGCTGCCCAGGCAAAATTTCACTCATAGCACACTGTATGGCGTATGCCCATCTTCATTAGCCCAGTCGGAGCAGAACAGTAGTACGTTAAACCCCATTTCATTTCATTCCTTAACCATGGTCATTAAGGCCCTAGGGCCTCTAGATTAGTAATAAGTCCTGACCCTCAAAAGAATATCATCGACAGCAATGTCTAGAAAACAAAAATTGAGATGAAATATGACAAAATGCCTTTCTTGAGTGTCATGATTTTGCTAGTTCCCCAATGTTCATTATAATATTTGTTAATGTTTATTGTGAAAAACTCTTTATAAATTACTAAAATAATCACCAATTTTATGTTCAGCTTCTACCCAGGAGAGCAATGGAAGTCCCAAGCTTTCTAAATCAGCGAAACGCAGAAAGAAACAAAAGGCTAAAATGGCCAAGGCTATTGAGACATTCTCCAACCCAGCTCTTCTGATGGAAAAATATGAAAAATCTTTTGGTGAGCCATATGAGGTGAGTATTTAACAGTATGTGACCAGGGCTAGTTAAAAATATTTAACTAGTTAAAAAATTTTTAACTCATTAAAAAAAATTAACGTTAAAAATTTTTTAACTACTTTAAAAAATTTAACTACTTAAATTTTTTTAACTCATTATTTTTTTTTAACTCATTATTTTTTTTTAACTCATTAAAAAAAATTAACGTTAAATTTTTTTAACTAGTTAGAAAAATTGAACTAGTTAGAAAAATTGAACTAGTTAGAAAAACTTGACTGCTTAAAATAATTTAACTACATAAAAATTTTTAACTACTTAAAAACATTTTAACTACTTACGAAATTTAAATGGTTAAATTAAAGTTACAGTTTAAACAAGGAAATCTACATGTATCTCCTGTGAGTTCTGTATGATTATTTTCAACTTATGGACTCGTTCGTATATGAACAGAGATGAATGTCTTTATGTAAAGAAACGGCATCTTCAATCGTTTTCTTGCATGAAAATAGTAAAGATGATTAAATATATTGGATAATTCTGTAGTGTCATATTGGATAAACATGAATATCTTTCATTTGCAGACGTTTTTGCTATTTGTTTTTGTTCTATTGTAATTTTGACTTTTTAACTAGTTAAGCCAAAATTTGTCTCAGCCCAGCCCTGTATGTGACCTATTCATAACAATTTAAAAAGAAAAAAATGTGACATTTTTGAAGGCAAACTGTTAGTGAGGATATTCCTAGAATAAAACAACAATGTAAAAAAATACTTTCTTTATGGGTTGGTCAAGTTTAAACCATACAGGATTTCCTGGTCCAGTTAAAAGTTGTATGAGTAAGACTACTTATCTCAACTATATAGGGAAATTGATATATTATAAATGTTATAGTTTTAAAAGGAATTTTGTAATTGCTTGGATTAAACATACATTAATGTACATTATGCAAGAGATAAATCTGTCTATTGCAAGTCTTTCTTTATAACTAAAATGTTATCTAAATTATTAATTAGACATTTATTAACATGACAAGAACATAATAAACTCTTGAGGGATCACGGTGGCTAAGTGGGTAAGACGCTGGCTCGCTAGCCTGGAGGTCGGGTGTTCGATCCCTGCATTGGCCGAGAAAGTTCATCCCTTGTCAGTCATGCAGGATGGAGGGCCTGACAAGAACAGCTGTCTAGTCGTTCGGATGGGACGAAAAAACCGAGGTCCCATGTACACAATGTCCGGGCAAAATTTCCCTCATAGCACACTGTATAGAGTATGTCCGTCTTCATTAGCCCAGTTCGGAGCAGAACAGTAGGACGTTAAACCCCATTTCATTTCATTTCATTTTATCAACTCTTGATGTCATCACTAGCCTGCGATATTTAGCGGATTAAAATACATTTTTATGAAAATAATTAAACGTAAAAATGGATAATCGAGACTATGTTTTTTATAGTACCGACTTTAGTAATGATGATCAAACCTCAAAAGCTACTATCTCGGTTCAGAGTGGAAAAATTTGACTGAAATTTTCCTCATATTCAATTTACGTTAATTATTATGGTTTTCTTAATTAAATGTTAAAGAGGCATTATTCAAGAGCTAAATCTGCCTTTTGATGGTCTTTCTTTAGGCCTTAAATGTTATATAAACTATTAATTAGACTTTAATTATCTTGACAAGACCATAATCAACTCTTGATGCCATCGGAAAAATCTGATTTTATGAAGATCAGAACAGTTTGCGGGAGCAACGGTGGCTAAGTGGGTAAGACGCTGGCTCGCTAGCCTGGAGGTCGGGTGTTCCATCCCAGCATTGGCCGAGAAAGTTCATCTGGATTTTCCGACATGGTTTCCCCTTGTCAGTGATGCAGAACGGAGGGCCTGACAAGGACAGCTGTCTAGTCCTTTGGATGACACAAAAAAACAAGGTCTCGTGTATACATTGGAATACACGTAAAAGATCCCTTGGCAGTTGGAATTCGATATAAGAGTAGGCGATAGTGCTGCTGCCCGGGCAAAATTTCCCTCATAGTACACTGTATGGCGTATGCCCGTCTTCATTAGCCCAGCATAGGAGCAGAACAGTAGGACGTTAAACCCCATTTCATTTCATTTAGAACAGTTCGGCCATGTAATGTTTTGATTTAAAAATGGAGAAGTGAGGCTAAGCCTCGAATAACCAGCATGGTGGTTACGATAATAAACAATCAATGCACAGATCCTGTCAAAACTGCAAACAGTGATAACTTCACTCAGATAAAGTAATTTGAATGAAATTTTTAATATTTTCATTTCACATGATCTATTTTTGAACTATTATAGCATGAACGGCCAGTTCTTTATCTAAATTTTACATTATGTATCTTTAAATAACCCATCTGAGTAGCCTACATCTTAACATGGGTTAAGATAATGTCTGAAAAATGTAAACAATGATCAACTACTTTGATAGAAGTTTGTAAAAATTGACGGTTAATTTAGATTTTGTGTTTTTACAGTCTCCAGAAATTGGTTCAGGTGATAGCCCACTACCTGTTATTGATAATTTGACCTGTCCAATTTGTCTAGAGGTGTATCATCGTCCACATCTAGTCCAACCTTGTGGTCATATCTTCTGTGAACCGTGTCTTCGTCGATTGACCACTAGAACGTGTGCTGAGGTTCCTTGTCCTATGTGTAGGATAATTATTATATCATGCACTCCTGATGATGGTAAGTGGAAATTAAGTATTGTTTAATGGTTGAGAGCGAGACATTAAGTGATATATTTCAACAACAAGAGGACTATAGGCCCGAGTGTTTTTACAATATATTACGCAACGTCTTAAGCTCGGGACCATTAAATGACTTAAAATACAGACATACTGCACGTGCCTTTACAGTGAAATACGTCACGCGAGTCCAATATTTCACTAGTATAAATAATGTATAATTGGCAAGTTGCCCGTGCGATTATTTGAAATAATGATACGCCAACATCAAAGTATGACGTCACATATGTATTTTAAATATGTATAGTATACTCCTCCCCCCCCCCCCCCCCCCAAATTTTTTTTACATCCCGTCAATCTAATTAAAAAACACAAATCCTATTTCGTTCCGTTTTTTTTTTTAGTTTAAAATTTCGTTTTACTTGTCTTTACTACACTAGGATCTGGCTCCATGCTCACAAAGCATTCTCAGACTTAAGTTAAGAATTTACTCAACTTTCAATCACTGTTTATTAGAAATATCTTTGATCCAGAAACGCAAAACTTTGCGCATAGCTTCTTATTAATGCATTTGATACATTAAAACAACAAAAGTTTTATAAGGGGCTATATTTTAGTTGAAATAGGCGAACAATTTTCAGTAAATTCTTAACTTAAGTCTGAGAATGCTTTGTGAACTCCGGGCCTGGAAGAGTTGTTATATAACCCTTGTTCTGGATAATGTGAAGGATTAGCCAATGAAACGGTCTGTTACGGCACTGTGGGTAACCTACTGTAGAAACATCAAACCATAATATTTAATCAAATGACTGACATCATAGGGTATAAAGCCCCTCGTATGACCTTTGCTGACACGACTACTACAACTGGTCAGATCTTCATGTAGTAGAGACCATCGAAAGTATAAAAAAAACGAAACGAAATAAAGATCTGTATTTTGATCAGAATGGTGCTTTTCTGGAAAACATTTACAATTGGTTCATATTCGAGAGACAGTGCAATAGTCTTAGAGTGCCATTTTAAATACCGGATGTAATTACAAACTGTTGTCATTATGAAAGCTTACTAAATTAAAATATTGTTTACACGGAGTTGTAGATGGGATCTAGCAAAAATATTGGCAAATTAATAGAAACAATTAAATGAAAAATTGCACTAAAGGGAGACAACTCAATAAGGGAACATTGTCAAGCTGCCTATGCTAAGGAGTGAGCTGTGTTTATTGAACTATTTATTAGTTTTAGTAAGCACCTGGATTCACTATCTACAAGAAAATATCAAAAACTGTATAAATGTGTGTGTGTGTGTGGGGGGATGGATGGCCGAATGGTTAGCATGTGCGCGTTGCATCAATGACATAAGGTCTGTGATCTGTCATTGAGTCAACTGGTATGGTTTTGATTCCCCGGTTGTACATGACAAGGAGTAGGGTTGCCCTCTCTCTCTCTCTCTCTCTCTTTCTCTCTCTCTCTCTCTGTAGGAATGTATCTGCCATCATCTACTTAGCTACGGCCCTGGGGTTGCTTGGTCAATTGGTTTTATGCATGTGCTTTGGATCATAAGGACTGTCATTGAGTCAAGTGGCATGGTCTTGATTCCCCGCTTGTATGTGGCAAACAGTAGAGAATAAATGAAATAAATTTGAACCATATGTTAGTCCCAAAAAGACCTAGTTTGTGTCGAGTGGACTTTAAACCCCATTTCTCTCTCTCTCTCTTCAATTTATTAACATTTGGATGCTTTGCAGCAGTTTGTGTAATGTCCTGGTTTTTTTTTCTTGCCCTTTTCCTTCTACTTATGAATTAAATTGTTTTTCAGAACTGAGTTCCCGGGTGAGCTTGACTTATCCCGACCGTGTTGCAGCTCGTAATCGAGCCGAGAGAAAGAGTAAATCAAAGAGGAATCCGTTACCAAGAGTCGAACATCAACCTTTAAGCCATGACCTTATTAATCAGATGGTCACGACAACCAGTCGCTCAAGATCTGCTCTTCAAAGAACGCAGTTACCGTTTAATAGAAGTCATATACAAAAACTACTTCTAGTGATCATATGTGTAATATCTTATATATTTACCTCCGTTACAATTCGAGCCATATCTAGTTTTTTAATTAATAGCAATGAAGATACAACTGGTAATTTTTTTGTTTTAATAGTTTTTTGTCTTTATTTTTATTTTATAGATAAGGGTATGAAATTTTTATTAGCTTTGTATGATGGATGATGGTGATTAATTTTAGACTGGGGATTTATTTTTAAGGATATTAATTAATGAGATTAACATTTGTTGTTGGTTTTTATTTCGAGTATAAACTTAATGTTGTTTTTTATTTCGAGTATAAACTTAACGTTGGTTTTTATTTGGAGTTTAAACACAACATTTTTTTTTTTTTTTTTTATTTGGAGTATAAACATACAATTTATTTTTTTGTTGTTGGTTTTTATTTCGAGTATAAACTTAACATTTTTTTTTGTTGGTTTTTATTTTGAGTATAAACTTAGTTTTTATTTCAAGTATAAACTTAGTTTTTATTTCAAGTATAAACTTAACATTTTTTTTGTTGTTGGTTTTTATTTCAAGTATAAACTTAGTTTTTATTTCGAGTATAAACTTAGTTTTTATTTCGAGTATAAACTTAGTTTTTATTTCAAGTATAAACTTAGTTTTTATTTCAAGTATAAACATAACATTTTTGTTGTTGGTTTTTATTTTGAGTATAAACTTATACAAATATGTAGCACGATATCTAGTCTAATACCGATACTAATATTGTAATATTAGGTTTAATCAAATCTTTGTAGTGTTCACTCATAGTCACAATAAATAGAAATATATGTTGTAGGAAACTATGTAATGGTCACTACTCCATCCTCACTTTGTTACCTTGACTGCTTTAGCAATATATGTTATAGAAAAGTACCAATATGTAATGGTCACTTACTCCATCCTAACAAGCTGGATACTTTTGATACTTTGACTGCTTTAGCAATATATGTTATAAAAAGTAACAATATGTAATGGTCACTACACCATCCTAACAAGCTGCATGCTTTTGTTACCTTGACTGCTTTAGCAATATGTTATAGAAAAGTAGCATTACGTAATGGTCACTACACCATCCTAACAAGCTGCATGCTTTTGTTACCTTGACTGCTTTAGCAATATGTTATAGAAAAGTAGCATTATGTAATGGTCACTACACCATCCTAACAAGCTGCATACTTTTGGTACCATATCTTGACTGCTCTAGCAATATGTTATAGAAAAGTGGCAATATGTAATGGTCACTACTCCATCCTAACAAGCTGCATACTTTTGTTACCATGACTGCTTTAACAATACATGTTGTGATAAAGTACCGATAAGTAATGGTCACTTACTCCATCCTCACTTTGATACCTTGACTGCTTTAGACATATAGGTTGTATTGGTCACTTTAGTTACTCCATACTCACAGTTTGAAGGTCTACTGCATAGGCTACTTTTAATACCTTGACTACTTTAGCCAACTATATTACACAATAGGATAAAACTATTGGGACAAATTTACAGTATTCAGAGATACATTCTATGTTTTCACTTCTGTGGTATGATAAAGTTGTCTAATGTAGTCAATGCCTCAGATGTATAATGTATTGGCTTGTTATGATGAAGATGTCATTTCTCCAACTGAATTTATATGAGTTTTTAGATATATATATCTATTGTAGAACTTAGCAACAACTGTCACTGTAACCCGGGTAACATTTAATCTTGTGTTTCTAGTACTAATTTCTTTCACATCCGTTTAATATCAAATCTTTGTTTAAAAAATTTGTAAAAATCATTTAAAATCACCCAAAATCGTCTTATTTGTACTTTTTCAGTTTAAAGCTGAACATTCAATTTTGATAATGAGTGTCCAATTTACAAGCATTTAATTTCGTGATCACTGTTAAAAAATAAACAACCCAGTTGATTATTGATGTATAATGATTAATTTTTGAACAGTGATCATGAAATTAAATACTTGTAAATTGGACATTCATTATCAAAATTAATCAGTCACCTTTACATGTAAACTGGAAACAAGTACAAATGATTTTTACGAATTTTTAGAACAAAGATTTGATTTTAAACAAACATGCTAAATACCCAAGATCAAACGATACCCAAGTTACAGTGATAGAATTGTGTGATCAAAGAACGTTTGAATTTTGTTGGTGCTTTTATAAACCCAGCTAGAATTTGTATGTTTTTGAAGATAGTTTAATCAAGTTATATTGATCTGTCTGGGCGTTATAGACAAGTGTGATATATCTACGTATATTGTGATTTATTGGATTGGTATATATATTTATAGAATATATTAAATAATCGGTTAATTATCTATTGTATGGTTTGAAATATGGCAATTTGGGTGTCCTTTTATTGTATGGTTTGAAATGTGGCATTTGGGGGTCATTTTTATTTAAAAAGGGGGTGATTTCTGAATCTGTGCTGCCATTGTTTTTACTGGGCTCAATTTGAGCAATGCACATATTATCCGGAAATCTGATATTTTGTCAAATAGAGTTTCATGTACATGTATGTCCCATTCTCCTGAGAATCATCGCTTCATAAAGATACATTTTGGGAGATTAGATAAAGTATTGACAGTTCTTGCTATATTAGTTACAAAATAGATAACGTAAATAGAATATGGTGAAAAGTTGGTACAATAAAAAACAAAGTCTTGATTCTTCATTTTTATATTTAATCATCTATCACAAAATGTATTCAAATTCAGTAAATATTGCAGGCTAGCAATGACTCGAGAGTTGAGTATGGTCTGGATAAGTTAATTAATGTCTAATTAATAATTTAGATAACATTTCAGGCCTAAAGAAAGACCCGCAATAGGCAGATTTAGCTCTTGCATAATGCATGTTTAATCTATTGCATGTACAGATATTTCGCTCAGATTTTGTCTTAATAAATCTGATGAAAATGTTCTCCCTATTTTTGACCTTGGTTATATAACAAGCTTGCTTTATAGATTGTTGATAATATATTTATAATGATTGAAATGTGTTGGAATATTCAGATTGTAATATTTTAAAGATGCACTATGTAAGAATTAAATAAAGAGCTGGTTGTTCTTTCTATAATAGTTTAAAGATAGGTAAAACGAAATGAATATATTGAAAATTTCTGTCAAATTACTTTATTCTGGGCGAAGCTATGAACCAAGTATCATCAACACTAATAAACTAAGAAATGAAAAGAAATGGGTTATAACGTCCTACTGTTCTGCTCTGAACTGGGCTAATGAAGACAGGCATACGCCATACAGTGTGCTATGAGGCAAATTTGGCCCGGCAGCGACGTTAGGCCTACCCGTATATCAAATTCCAACCGCCAAGGGATCTTTTACGTGCATGCGGTTGTTTGTCCCATCCTGCACCACGGACAATGGGAAACCACACCGGAAAATTCTTACACAATAATTTATGGAAATTTACATTTGAAATAAAAAAAAAGCCTAGCAATAAAGAGATTTAACTCTTACATAATGCATCTTTATTGTGATTTGTTATGATTTTGTTGATTTATCATTAAAGGACAATATTGGTGTCAGTCATTATTACATATGTGGAGGGAGTTAAAGGACAATATTGGTGCCAGTCATTATCACATATGTGGAGGGAGTTAAACACGTTCCAGATAAAATTTCAACAGAGAGAGAGAGAGAGAGAGAAATGGGGTTTAACGTCCACTCGACACAAACTAGGTCATTTCGGGACTAACATATGGTTCAATTTTATTTCAATAAAATGTGTCAAGTGGACGTTAATCCCCATTTCTCTCTCTCTATATATAACTGACTGAAGTGACGAGTAATAATGACTGACACCAATATGGTTTTTTAAAGAAAGAAGAATTACAGCTTGTTAATTATATTTTATATGGATTGAAGTGTATTGGATAGTTCAAATGATAATATTTAATCATGTCATTTGTTATGAATTTTGTTAATTTGGCATGCGAAGAAAGGAATTGTTATTGTTTATTTAATATATAAATATTATGATATGTATATTTGACTTGCTTTAATGGTTAATAAGATTTGGAATAACTGCAGAATAGATATTGTAGGAGAAAAAAACATAATGGGGTGATACAAGATAATAGCACAATCAAATACTTATCAGATGATAATTTAGATAGAATACTTAACAAATATTTAACAACCAAAACACTTGTCATGGGGTCATCTGAGCATCAACTTTGGTTTTGTTTCATCTGAGCACCATCTGGGGTAATATGAGCACCACCTGTGGACCTGGGATCATCTGAGCCCCACCTGGGATCATCTGAGCACCACCTGTGGATCCAGGGTTATATGAGCACCACCTGTGGACCTGGGATCATCGAGGCATCACCTGGGAACAGATGAGCACCACCTGAGGACCCTGGGTCATCTGAGCACCACCTGGGATCAGATGAGCACCACCTGGGGTCATCTGAGGACCAGGGGTCATATGAGCACCACCTGTGAACCCAGGGTCATCTGAGTACCTCCTGTGGTTAGGTGGGGCATGTGAATAGTGTTGTCATGTAAGGTGGAAAAGGTATTCCATTAGCCTGTGGTTACATGTGCAATGCGACTGGTAGATGTCTGCCGGAGTGGTAGCAATTAACCTGGAATAAAGATATGGGACTATATTATATTGAATCATGTATAATTTAGTGCAATAAAACTTTGGCATTGATTATTTTTAACAGTAGCTGATATAGGAGCCACTTTAAAAGTTCTAACGTTCCTAATAACAATTAAATGTAGATATGGGTATATTTTTGGAAAAAGGTAAGAAATCACTACTTTAACATTATCAATAAAAGTATACAATGAAGTTTAACTCAATAATATTGTTAAGAATACAATCCTGATTATTTTCTAGAAAATGTCCATGTAACTAGAAATCCGTTTTAATTATTGAAATGAAAAATAAACTGATCTATATTAAACATGCCTGGTTTGTTCACTATTAATAACGGTCTCCAGGAGAAAGCAGGGGTCTATTATAATGTGAGCCACGGTCGCTAAGTGGGTAAGATGCTGGCTTGCTAGCCTGGCGGTCGCGTGTTCGATCCCTGCTTTGGCCGAAGGTGATATTGCAGACAAGTCTTTTTTTATTTTTATTATCTTAGCGCACGCGCAGGGGTCTTTCCTGTGGGAGAAACCCGGAGTAAACCCACGAGGTTGAGATGGCGTCCCTATCTCCAAGCCACATACGCTCACACCAGGGATTGAAACCACAACCGCAAGCCAGAGGTGACCGGCCAGCTAGAGGTCGAAGCGTGACACTCTAGACAACTAGGCCATCCCAACCCCCATCAGGATGGAGGGCCCGACGAGGACAGCTGTCTAGTCATTCGGATGGTACGAAAACCGAGGTCCCATGTCTACATTGGTGTGCATGTAAAAGATCCAAGTTTGAACATTCAAGTTATTGTGACGGACAGGTAGACAAACCCATTTTATAAATGAAATGAAATGAAATGGGGTTTAACATCCTACTGTTCTGCTCCTATACTGGGCTAATGAAGACGGTCATACGCCATACAGTGTGCTATGAGGGAAATTTTGCCCGAGCAGCGGCACTATCGCCTACTCTTATATCGAATTCCAACTGCCAAGGGATCTTTTACGTGCATTCCAATGTATACACAGGACCTCGGTTTTTCGTATCATCCGAAGGACTAGACAGCTGTCCTTGTCAGGTCCTCCATTCTGCACAACCCTCGATGACCATCAGATATCTCCATATGGTTCAGCAATTAATGCACATATCTTGTCAAACCTTCAAAAGCTAATATCTTCGCTCACAATGGAGCAATTTAAATGAAATTTTCAATAAATTCATTTTGCATTATCTATTTTCGAACTATTATAGTAGTAAGAATGGCCAGCTCCTCATCTAAATCTTACATAATGTATGTTTAATAAATGAAATAAAATGAAATGGGGTTTAACATCCTACTTTTCTGCTCCGACTGGGCTAATGAAGACTGGGCTAATGAAGACGGGCATACGCCATACAGTGTGCTATGAGGGAAATTTTACCCGGGCAGCAGCACTATCACCTACTCATATATCGAATTCCAACTGTCATGGGATCTTTTACGTATGTTTAATATATTTTACGATGAATAACAGACTATGAAATATATTCTATTTATAGTTTAATTTCACCAGGATATAAGAGCAATAAGATAATATATAATATCACACATATATTGCTATAGAGCACTTTACAGATAGATCAGAATACTTAACTAATATACAAACAATCAATAATTCACACCTACATGTGTATTTCTATTTATAGTTTAAATTCACCAGGATACAAGAGCAATCTGATGTATAGTTTAATGGTCGAATGCGAGACATTAAGTAATATATTGCTAGAGGATGCCAGTACGAGGGCTATATCTATATATTACGCATTGTCTTACACAAGACCATTAAACAACATAATAATTCACACCTACATGTGCACTTTACAGATAGATCAACATACTTATAGAGAATCTCCTACCAGTCTTTTTTGATATCAACGAGTGTTGATATTTTTTGATATCAAAAAAGGCGAGTAGGAGATTTTATTTATCACCCAGTCCTTTCTTACATGCACAAATAAATAAATATAATTCTTTGCTATAGATGTCACTTTTACTGAACATTACGGCGTAGTGATACATCATTTTTTAACAGCAATTCAACCATTGCAAAGTCCTTTATATTGACCTAGTGTTTCCATCAAGGTCAATTAAATAACAATAGTTCATTGTTCATTTTTAATAAAAAAAAAGTTACTTCTAATAAGAAATGAATGAACTGTTCTTTGAAAATAAAAAAAAGTAGTTTCTTTTCAACTGACCAATCAAATTCATGTAAAGCGATATCTTCTTGATTATGAAATATATCACACAAGCAATATCTACTGTAGAATGTATTATTGGGTGATAAAAAGGCTTAACTAAAATAGAATCAATAATAATAATAATAATTCACACCTACATGTGTAAACATGCATTAACAGAACACAGTTTTTATTGGATACAATCACTAGTTTTATTCTAAAAGCACAAAATGCTTGATAACGATGATAAGAAGATATTGGTCGAAAGAATAAAATTAGTGATTGTATCCCATAAAAACTGTGTTCTGTTAATGTAAATATGTAAATATATAATAAAGAAAACACGTAAATATTTTAACAACTGGTCAATTATAAGACTGAGATCATCATCGTTGATGGCAATGTTTATACATAATAAATTTATATCGGAGATATGAAAAATAGCCCAGTTGGTACAGAAAAGTAGGATGTTGAACCCCTTTTCTTTTAATTTCTGAGGTTAGAATTTTTAATCTGATTAAAACACAGATCCTATTTCGTTTAGTTTTTATAGTTAAAAATTTTGTTTTACTTGTCTTTACTACACTAGGATCTGGAAAAGTTGTTATATAAGACGCGTTCTAGTTGATGTGAGGGATTTAACCAATGAAACGGTCTGCTGCAGCGCGTTCTTCGCGTGCGATGCACGGACCTGGCAGTTGACCTGGTGCAGATCGGGTATAGCCATGAACCGAACCGAAGTAGCCTAACTCTGAAACTGGAAGTAGTAGTCCATCACCACCAGGCCTGTGCTACTCCCCCAGTCCAAGCTTCCCCTATACACCAAATTCAGCCTCCAGGACAACTCTAGTGCAGCCACCAACCCCGAACAGACCGACAGACAAACAAAGGACAGTCACAAATATTAGCATAGATTAAATCTTAAATAATAAAACAAATATTGTCCGAAAAAAGACGATCAGTGGGTATGAAAAATAATATAATATTTTTGTATCATAGATATATTCATATGTTACTCTTGTATACAAAATGATAGATTTAATTCTATCCATTTCAAACGTACTAATAAAATACTGATAAAATATTATATATCTGAATATATCTTTAAACATTAACCTACAAAACATGATAATCTGGAATCTATATATATTGTGACTGTCGTTTGTCTGTCTGTCTTTCTGTCTGTCTGTCTGTCTGTCTGTTCGGGGTTGGCGGCTACACTAGGTCTGCCCCGAGTCTGAAATTTGGGGTATAGGGGTAGCTCGGACCAGGGAGTAACATAGGCCAGGTGGCGTTAGTCTACCACTTCCGGTTTCGGAGTTATGACCCCCGAGCGAAGTCTGTCTGTTCGGGGTTGGCGGCTACATCTGCCCCGAGTCTGAAACTTGGGGTAAAGGGGTAGCTCGGACTGGGGAGTTACATAGGCCAGGTGGCGTTAGTCTACCACTTCCGGTTTTGGAGTTATGACCCCTGAGCGAAGCCGTCTGTTCGGGGTTGGCCGCTACACAAGGTCTGCCCCGACTCTGAAATTTGGGGTATAGGAATAGCTCGGACCGGGGAGTAACATAGGCTAGGTGGCGTTAGTCTACCACTTCCGGTTTCGGAGTTATGACCCCCGCGCGAAGTCTGTCTGTTCGGGGTTGGCGGCTACACTAGGTCTGACCCGAGTCTGAAATTTGGGGTATAGGGGTAGCTCAGACCGGGGAGTAACATAGGCCAGGTGGCGTTAGTCTACCACTTCCAGTTTAGGAGTTATGATCCCTGAGCGAAGCCGGGTATCCAGCTAGTATGTTATATTTTTGATATCTCTTTAAACATTAAGACGATAAATATGGAAAGAATTAATATATCTTTAAACATTTATAAAAGGATAAATATGGCAACAATTTTATAATGGTATAAATTCATCGACCGGTATATATAACAATAGCCCACATATATTTTACTATAAAAATACTTCATAAAATCATTGAAATCGAACAAATATGTATGAATATTTCTTTTATATATTAAGAAACTGATATTAAATATACATTATGCAAGAGCTAAATCTGCCTATAGCAGGTCTTTCTTTAGGCTTGTTTTCTAAATTATTAATTAGACATTAATTAACTGATCCAGGTCATAATCAACTCTCGATGACATCCGATTTCTCTCATATTAAATAGATTAGAACAGTTCAGCCATATTTTGATTTAATTTGAAAACGGATGAGCAAGACTTAGCCTCGAACAACCAGTACAGTGGTTGAAATTATTGCACACGTCTTGTTAAACCTTCAAAGGCTAATATCTTTGTTCGCAATAGAGTAATTTGAATGAAAAATTCATTTTACATTATCTATTTTGGAACTATTATAGCAAGAATGGCTAGCTCTTTATCTAAATCTTACATAATGTATCTTTAATTTACAATAATGATTGATTTGGTATCTTGCGTAATATAGTTATTGGGGATATGTAAGTACTGACATATGTATGAATAAATCCTTTATATATTGAGAAACTGATATTAATTTACAATAATGATTGATTTGGTCTCTTGTGTAACATAAGGTTATTGGGGATATATATAAAAGTACTGACATATTGTTTTAACACATATTGTTTTAACACATATTGACTTAATAATAATAATACTCATTATATTGGGGAGACGCAATACTATATACCAGGGCCCTTATTCATGAAAACTTAAACTAAGTTACAACCAAAATTTTAAGAAATACTGTAACTTCATTGGATATATGCAAATTCATTTTACTGATCAGCCAATCGAATTGCAGTATTTCTTAAAATTTCGATTGTATCTTAGTTTAAGTTTTCATGAATAAGGGCCCAGAAAACAACATTTCATACTGGATACCGGAAAACACCGGAAAAACACTAAATACCGGAAAAAACCCTAAATAGGTAACCCGGAGACTGGCACCCTAAATAGGTAACCGGGAGCCTGCTCCTCTGTGTGCCTGGGTTAAGGTTAGGGTTAATTTCCGGTTTATAATATAGCCCTTCTCCGGGTTACCTATTTAGGGTGGTTTCCAGTATTTAGTGTGTTTTCCGCAGTGTTTAGTGTTTTTCTGGTGTTTTCCGGTATTCAGTATAACATGGTGTTTTCCGGTAAATAGTATAGCCCTTGGGGAGATATATAAAAAAGTGTAATAACACATATTGACTTAATAATAATACACATTATATACCGAGCAATTAGAGATTCAAGTTAACCTTCATAAAACATAAAGATTTTATATCAATAAATTTGTTACCATTAAAATGTTTGATAAAATAAAAATACAATAATCAAACTTTTATGATTTAATACATGAATGACTGATTTTGGCAACCATATCTTTGAAATAATCCTATTCACTTATATTCTCTTAAATGATAAATTGTAAAACCTAATGTTCTCCCGAATAAAATACTGTTTAAACCAAATAATCAAATTTTACAAGAAGAGACAGTTAAGTGTACCAAATAACCGATTTCTTCAATCATACATAAAAAAAACCCCTGACCTATTTCTATAATCTGTACTGTATAACTATAAATTTTATAAGAGGCCGTTAAGTGTACCAAATGACCGATTTCTTCAATTATACATAAAAAAAAGAAAACCTGACCCTATTTCTATAATCTGTATTGTATTATTATAACCTGTTTTCTTAGATACTGAAAAATTGCTGATTGCACTGTTTAGTTGACAAACAATAGAGAAGGGACTATTTTAAATCAAAGTCAAGGTTTGAATTAAATTTACAGACAGAGAGGGGAATAGGGTTTATTGTCCACCTAACAAAAACTAGGTCACTCTGGGACTAACACATGGTTAAATTTTATTTCAACAATTCAGAGCAAACCAACAAGGTTAAAGGCTCAATACCACTCTTGTTGTAACTGAATAATATGTCCCAATCTTTATTCTGGTCAACAAATTGTACTATTTTACGATATTCCAATTAATTGATGATACAAATTTCATCTTAACACACCTAATTTAAAAAATTGGAAAAATTCAACTAATTGATTTGAGAGCCTAACAAAAACCTTTTCAAATGCGACTTGGATTTAAAAATATTTTCGAACCCTCGCGACAAGTAAAATAGGATTTAATGGATAATTTACACAACAGGTAGGACACTAAAACATCTAATACTTATAATAAGGCTACTATTTTTTTTTCTGGAGCTGTCAAGCCAGCAAGAGTGTTATTGTCCCTTTAAAATCATAATTTTATCGGAATTTTTTTCGGGTAACTGGGAGATAGTCAATTCACTTGTGCCAAGTGCTCAAGGGGCAAATGTTCTCATATAACCTTACCCTCTAACCTAGATATATAGTAAATAAAATACTATCTATATGGTGATCAACAACATACCAGCATATCCATTCAATAATTATAACCAGGCCCCAAGTTCACAAAGCACTCTAAGACTTACGTTGAGAATTTACTCAACTTTCAATCATTGTTTATAAGAAATAACTTTGATCCAGAAACACAAAACTTTGCACATCGTTTCCTACTGATGTATTTGATACACTAAAACAACAAAATTTTATAAAGGGCTTATTTTAGTTATAAACAAGGCGAACAATTTTGAGTAAATTCTTAACTTAAGCCCGAGAATGCTTTGTTAACTTGGGGCCAGGGTTCTTGTTTTATTTGCTAGTCTTTAACTGACTGACAGTCGTGAATGACCAGCTGAAGAACTTTAAAGGAGCTAAATCGCTAACATTGACACAAATGGGTCGCAATGCATATAATAATGTAATATCAATGTATATAAACTAATGAATTACATTCAATCGTTTCTGTCTTTACTCTTAATTTCAAATCAGTTAATTTCGGTGAAATACACCAGAAGTCTCAATCGAATGGCAATTCTAGCATCTGGTTATTCCTGTCTACATAGTATTTATTGTGCATGCTCTCCAGGTAAGAATATGACATCAACGTTTGACATGACTTATGGAATATGTCTACCCTTATCTTTCAAGTCCCTTGTTACAAATGGCACTGAAATGCATTATGGTACATGATTTGTGTACCAATAATGGTAACATGTTTATTTTGTCTTAAATATTGGGTATCTGAAGCCCATCTTTTCCCGGTAAGATCACAACATAAATTTTGATTTAAACCCACAAATAATTCGTGTTTTCAATGTTAAAGACTTTGGATGATATTGAGTTAGAAGCTACTTTAACTGTCAGTCAATCAATAAGACATAACATTAGAAAATTAAAGAATTTGACCATAAAATACAATAAATATAGTAACATCTAAAGCTTCCATGAATAAAAACACTTCAAATAGTATAAAAATTGTGATAATGTTAGAAATTGTAATATTCTTCGGAAAAAACATATTTCTAATTAAACAAAATGGCTGCCAAAATCTGAAAAATTACTGATTAATTTCCGAACATGATTTCTTATGAAATGTTATTAAAATATATTCTTTGTTTAACTCACAAACATGTTAAGAATACTGGGCCCTGTTTCTCGAAATCTTAACTAAAGATAAAATCCAAATTTTAGTAGATAATTCAATTTTGATTGGCTAAGCACTAAAATCAATCTAATATTATCCAATCAAATTACTAAAATTTGGATTTTATCTTTGTTAAAATTTCGTGAACCGGGCCCCAGGACTTTTAGAATATGATTAACACAGATTCTTTTTTATTCTGTTGTTTTTTTTATAGTTCAATTTTAGTTTTTTTTAGGCCAACTCAATTTTTCATCATAGGTCATAATATGTAAACCCTGGACCTATCCCCAATGGTTACCCTGACCCTAACCTACAATCTCGGCAACAATCACATGCCCTAATTTTATTTACATCCTAGTGACCTTGACAAAAATTGAGCTGGCTCACTGTTCAAAAATTAATCATTATACATCAATATTCAATTATAAAATGTTGTTTAATTCTTTTAACAATGATCGAGAAATTAAGCGCTTGTAAATTAGACACTCATTATCAAAATTCAATAGACGGCTTTAAACTGGACACAAGTACAAATTAGATGATTTTTGGTGCTTTAAAACAATTTTTATGAATTTTTAAACAAAAATTTGATAGATGAATGTGAAAAAAATTAGCGCTAAATGCACAAGATTAAATGATACTTGGGTTACAGTTTATAAAAAGTATTAATTATTAAACAAAGATTTGATATTAAATGAATGTGAAAGAAATTAGCGCTAAATACACAAGATTAAATGATACTTGGGTTACAGTTTATAAAAAGTATTAATTATTAAACAAAGATTTGATATTAAATGAATGTGAAAGAAATTAGCGCTAAATACACAAGATTAAATGATACTTGGGTTACAGTTTATAAAAAGTATTAATTATAAAACAAAGATTTGATATTAAATGAATGTGAAAGAAATTAGTGCTAAATACACAAGATTCAATTATAGCTGGGTTACAGTGTATCTTGTACCCACAAAAAGATCATTAATAAGCTTACAGATCTATTTCCTATTTTAAAAATAAAGAAAATACATTTGAAGAGTCCAGGGGAAGAAAGATCTAAGTCATATTTTTGTCTTTTCGCATAAAACGCAAAACAACCATTGAATCCTTATAGCTAGAATGCTTGACACAACTGGCAGGCCATTACAGAAGGCCACTGGTTTGATGTGACGCTACATGTTTTTATCTGAAATTGATTGTTCCACAAAAAGTGACTTAGATCGTTTTTCCCCTGGGCTCTTCATTTATTAAAAAATATGATTTCTGTTTTTTTAAACTACTAATTCAACAGATCTAAAATATCTACATTCAGTACTTTGGGAATCCAGTTCCCAATGTTTACAATTTGCAAGTCTGGAAATAAGGCACCTGTCACAGACAATGCCAGGTACAGATTCAGGCTTTGTCAGGCACTAAACCTTCGGTGCCTGTCATTTTGTCTGGCACTGGTTTGTCTATTTTATTGATATTTTTAATACAAGTCTGGCAATAAGTTGTAAATGTCACATTTTGTCAGGCTCATCTAAAACCATTATTTCCAGGCCTGACAATTTGGGAACAGAGATTTATCAAAGGAACTTCTGCAACATCATAATAATTAACATATATATCAAAAAAAGCATCAAAAGACTAAAATATTCATAACATAAAGATGAAAATAAATTGAGTATAATCGTTATTCATGACTTGGTTTTTTTTTGCTACCTCGTCTCTAAACTTCTATTTTCTCTATAAATATGGAAAAGAAGTTTTTGACATTTTCACTTCTCTTTTTTCCAGTCTCTAAAACTTCCTCGTGGTTGGCGAATTGCTCGGAGTCGTATTCCATCACACATTCATTTGTGATCAAGGACATTCCAAAAACTTTTAACCCACAGTGCCGAGCAACTAAAACTTCAGGAACTGTGCTCATACCTGCATGGAAAAAAATTTGAATTACCAATTTTACAGATGCATTATGCAAGAGCTAAATCTGCCAGGTCTTTTTTTAAGCCTTGGGATGAAAAACCGAGTTCCTGTGTACACATTGGCGTGCACGTAAAAGATCCCTTGACAGTTGGAATTCGATATAAGGGTAGGCCGTAGTGAAGATGTGCATATGCTATACAGTGTGCTATGAGGGAAATTTTTCCCAGACAGCGACGCTATGACCTACTCTTATATCGAAATTCCAACTGTCAAGGGATGTTTTACGTGCTGCCAATGTGTACACAAGACCTGGTTTTTCGTGTCATCCGAAGGACTAGACAGCTGCTCTTGTCAGACCCTCAATCCTGCACCACTGACAAGGGGGAACCACGTCGGATAATCACAATGAACTTTTTTGGCCAAAACCGGGAGCAAACCCGCGACCTCCAGACTAGGGAGCCAGCGTCGTACTTACTTAGCCATTTTGGCTCCTATCATTTTATTACTGACAACAGTTGTTATCCACAGTGTCCCAACAATGGTTAATTCACCCTACCCCCCACCCTCTCCCTCCAATAAGAAGAACTCCATCAAGGCATTGACGTAATAAACACCTACACTAAGTTCGAACATTATAGCTCAATTAGAAGGAGATTTGTTGTGTCCCAAAAAGTGTGACCTTGAAATGTGTTTTATATATCTTTGACCTATAAATTACGCTTATGTAAGCATGTTTATTACAGTTCATTCAACTCTCTCCCATGAGTCGGCATGACCTAAGTACAAAGGAGTAATGTCCTCATATAGTTATGTTGATTCCTACACGTTTTCTTGTATGCGACATTTACTGTTTCTGTCTTAAGATAGAGATAAGTGAGAAAGAGAGAAATGGGGTTTAATGTCCACTCGAAACAAACTAGGTCATTTCAAGACTAACACATGGTTTAATTGTATTTCAATAATTCGCTTGCGGGTAGGGATCTTTAGCAGTGGGAGGAAACTGGAGGACCCGGAGAAAACCCATGAGGTTGGACAAGCGACCCTAATCCTTGTCACGTACAACCGGCGATTCGAAAACAAGCCCGTTGACTCAATGACAGGCCTTATGATACAGCACGCACGTGCTAACCATTCGGCCATCCTACCCACCAAACTATAAATAAACAGCCAAATGAAATAAAATGGAGTCCAACGTCCTACTGTTCTGCTCCGACTGGGCTAATGGAGATTTTGCCTGAGCAGTGGCACTATGGGCCTACTCTTAATTCGAATTCCAACTGTCAAGAGACCTTTTACGTGCAAGCCAATGTATACACGGGACCTCTGTTTTTCATCCTATCCAAATGGCTAGACAGCTGTCCTTATCAGGCCCGCCATCCTGCACCACTGACAAGGGGAAACCACGCCGGAAAATCTGGATGAACTTTCTCGGCCAATGCAGGGATCGAACACCCGACTTCCAGGCTAGCGAGCCAGCGTCTTACCCACTTAGCCACCGCGGCTCCCAAAAAATAAAACAGCGAACTCACCTGTAGCATCGACACCGAGAATACTTAATAATTTACATTCTGTGACCGTTTCAAACGCTGGACCAACCATCATACTGTAAACACCTTCCCGCATAAAATCCTGATAATTCAATTCCTTAAGTATACTTCTGGCTAACTGTCGATATTTTAAATCATAACAGTTGGACATCGCTGGGAATCTTGGACCAAATCTGTTTAAAGACATTAAATTCATTTTAATTTTTTATTAAAGGGCATATAGCACTATTTTTTGAAACCTTAAAGGTCACCGGAAAAGCTCCAAATTTTTAAAAAATAATGTCAACATACATGTATCCTTTCCATAAGCATAACACAAACCCAAACATCAATATTACCTGATACAGGTAAATTTCAATATTAGTAATTTCCGCTATTTTCCGTGAGTAGTCGTAACTTTCCGTCAATAAACAATCTGTGACGTCATAGAAGGACTAAAATGACGTCACAGATTGTTTATTGACGGAAAGTTACGACTACTCGCGGAAATTACTACGGTAATATTGACATTTGGATTCGTGTTATACTTATGGAAACCATGTTGACATAAATACTTGTATTATTTTTTAAAAATTTGGAGCTTTTCCGATGACCTTTAAAATTAACGAAAATAGGTCTAAAAGCACATATTAATGTATTTTGAGCGTATATAAAATTCTTTACATTCAATATGAAAATTTGAATTGTAATTTCTAATCAATTATATGTTCAGTAAAATATGTGAACAGTTCCAATTCAACAGGAGTCGATCTCAACTGATTAGTGCATTCAACACAGGTTTTTATTATTAAGTCATCTGTTAATCAGCCATTTTCAATTACTTCCACAATGTCTTATGGAATATGTTTTTCTTTGTTCATTACAAATGGTGTTCAAAACCATAGTGTACACATCATTGAATATTAGGATCCCATATTATCAAGGCAAGATCAAAACATTAATATTGATTTAAATTGACCAATATTTTGTTAATGCTATCACCCTTGGTGGAGGAGGACGTAAAACTCCAGGAACAAACGAACGACCAATATTGAATTTTAATTCGAAGATAATGGATAATACCAAGTTAGCTCCTTTAATCAATAAAATCAGAGCTATCTGTATGGAAATGAATCAGCAGAGTAAAAATCAATAAATTACAATTCAAACTATATTTAGACAAACACAGTGAATTAATATCAATAAACCATTGTGTAGGTCAACATGTTCTTTCTAAATTTAACAAACCCAACAGAGCAGTCAGAAATGAAATGAAATGGGGTTTAACGTCCTACTGTTCTGCTCCTATGCTGGGCTAATGAAGACGGTCATATGCCATACAGTGTGCTATGAGGGAAATTTTGCCCGGGCAGCGGCACTATCGCCTAAACTTATATCGAAATCCAACTGCCAAGGGATCTTTTACAGGCATTCCAATGTATACACGGGACCTCGGGTTTTTCGTCTCATTCGAAGGACTAGACAGCTGTCCTTGTCAGGCCCTCTGTCCTGCATCACTGACAAGGGGGAACCACGCCGGAAAATCTGGATGAACTTTCTCGGGCAATGCAGGGATCGAACACCCGACCTCCAGGCTAGCGAGCCAGTGTCTTACCCACTTAGCCACATGATCCCCCAATAGAGCAGTCAGACTGACTGAATGTTCAGTCCTATAGAAAACGATTATTATTTATTATTATTTCCACGACACTTGGATTTATTTCAATAGTAACAGTAATATCTCTTAATCAAATTTTTAACTAGCATGAGTTATTTGGCTTCTGGTTCTATACAAACATCACGTGAAATATCTAAAGAAGCGGGAGCCACAGTGGCTAGTTGGTTATAAGGGTGTGACGACTAAGCAAAACTTGAACCGGTTAGTCGGCGGCTAAAAAACCGAACCGATTCGGTTTAGTCGGTAATGAAAACTAACTGAAAAATATTAGTCTTCCATAGTCTACAATACACGCTAATATACTGGCCTTTATATACGGAGCTTAAAACTGTAATGGCGACATACATGTACAGTTCTATGTTTTATGTGTCCGGTACATTAAAAAATTTGGTTTTGTTTGTACTATGTAGTTTGTTCAAATCTCCTGTTTAACCTTTTTAATAAAAGTAATAAATACAACATATAAAAAAATAGACTTCGATTTTCTCTTTTACATTATCCACGGTTCGCGTGTTCCATTTCGTTTTATATATTATTATTAACATATTATGCAGGTAATAGGGCGGACATAATGTATGGAATAAATAAGCTTTACTCGTCGATTTTTGTTGATTACCGATCACGGCCGAGATTAGTTCACCGCTGTATATTCGTATTGTTTATTCGTATTGTTAGTTAATTTCCGTTATGATTTTAGATTACTTCAACGATGGTTTTGTAATAAAGTATACTCGTATTGTTTGTTAGTTTATGATGTCTAACATCATTTATCTTCTTTATAAAAAGGTGTTTTATAATTACATATTGACAGCTGAATCACTCGCCAAAAATACATCACAGACTCTACGTATTACCAAATAATCAATTAAATTGCGCAGGAGCCCCTTTGAAATAAGACAAATTAGATTGATATTTATTCGAAACCGTAATTAATTTTAAAACTGAACGTTGATTTAATTTCCGTGCACGAAATGAAACTAAACATCTCCAAATATAAGAAATCCGAATAAGAATTCATTTAGAATACCAAAATGTGAATCGTAACACATTGGGGTCTAATGGAACCTGTTGTAAGGTGGACACTGCATGCTTTCTTTTAGCGTTGGATTATTTGAGACGCCAGGTAGTCTGAACATCTAGAGATAACACATGTTGAAATAGTGGCTACGTGCAATTTTATCCTTTGATCTGTTCTATCACTGGCAATCCTGTTATAGTGAAACCAACATGCATGCAAATGACTATACAGTGTATTACAAGTGTATGACACCAAGTAAGCTCAGTCTGGGATAAGTCTAGTTGTATTAGAAACGTAAATGCGGTCTACGATATACGACTTTAAATCTCTCCACTAGATAATTCTTTTTGTGAAAAAACAAAACAAACCGTTACAATAGACATAGTGTTTTATCTATTTCTTGTGATAATAATTAAAAATAACTGGAAACGATATGGACTTATTTTTTTGCTTACAAACACGGTAAGCATTTCTTTCGTTGTATTTTATTACTTGACGATAAACATGTGGTATTAAATATGTCAACTCTTTACACATGCTGTTTAACTAAAAAACTATAATAAAATGAAATTACGGTCAATATTCACAATAATCCACGGCCGATATACCAAAGTTGTAACTGATGATCGTTACATTTTATTTAACAAACATCGTGGGAATCGTTAGGAATGCTAATTATATTTTTTTTATTGCGGGAATATCTACGACCGATTACAGAATATACTGGACATCTCATTATTATCGACCATTTATCAATGATGTAGCTTAATGCTTATTCGCCCCGATAATTGTTGATCGTTAATACATGTATCTTTTTTATAAAAAAACATGCTATAATATTCGGGCGACTGGTTTATATCATGCTGTATTTTTTAGACGACTATCAATTTCCCGAAACTTGAACAGGTTTGTAGGTAAAACCGAACCGACTCAGACTAAACCGACTAATCGTCACACCTCTAGTTGGTTAAGACGCTGGCTCGCTAGCCTGGAGGTCGGGTGTCCGATCCCTGCATTGGCCGAGAAAGTTCATCTGGATTTTCCGACGTGGTTTCCCCTTGTCAGTGGTGCAGAACGGAGGGCCTGACAAGGACAGCTGTCTAGTCCTTCGGATGAGACGTAAAACTGGAATGCACGTAAAAGATCCCTTGGCAGTTGGAATTCGATATAAGAGTAGGCGATAGTGCCGCTGCCCGGGGCAAAATTTCCCTCATAGCACACTGTATGGCGTATGCCCGTCTTCATTAGCCCAGTATAGGAGCAGAACAGTAGGACGTTAAACCTCATTTTATTTCATTTCACATACAAGTCTCGCTATCCAGGTGGACTGCAAGGGAAGACAACTCAGTTTGGGATATTGATAGACTTACCTTTCATCATTTAGACCAACTAATGGATTAACACCTGCAAATCCTGCCAGATTAACATGATCTTTAATAATCATCAGATCGCCTACTTTAAAATCACGATTAATCCCACCGGCTGCGTTCGTTACAATCAAAGTCTTCACACCCATCATCTTCATAGTTCTAACTGGCACGGCAATCTAAACAGATAACGAGATAAATTACTATCAGTGTGAGGGTTAGCATGTGCACGTTGCATCATAAGGTCCTTCATAGTTCTAACTGGCACAGCAATCTAAACAGATAACGAGATAAATTACTATCAGTGTGAGGGTTAGCATGTGCACGTTGCATGATAAGGTCCTTCATAGTTCTAACTGGCACGGCAATCTAAACAGATAACGAGATAAATTACTATCAGTGTGAGGGTTAGCATGTGCACGTTGCATCATAAGGTCCTTCATAGTTCTAACTGGCACGGCAATCTAAACAGATAACGAGATAAATTACTATCAGTGTGAGGGTTAGCATGTGCACGTTGCATCATAAGGTCCTTCATAGTTCTAACTGGCACGGCAATCTAAACAGATAACGAGATAAATTACTATCAGTGTGAGGGTTAGCATGTGCACCTTGCATCATAAGGTCCTTCATAGTTCTAACTGGCACGGCAATCTAAACAGATAACGAGATAAATTACTATCAGTGTGAGGATTAGCATGTGCACGTTGCATCATAAGGTCCTTCATAGTTCTAACTGGCACAGCAATCTAAATACATAAATAACTATCAGTGTGAGAATAATAACATAAGATAGGTTGCCAGGCAACAAAACATACGCCCACAGCAGCTAAATCGTCCAAGCAGTCGACAAGGGTTGTCACATATTTATTCTTTTGTAGGTAATTATGGGAATTTAATAGACAATTTCATACAGATGACATTAAAATTGTTCAAATTCGACAGGCTTTTTCGTTTTACTAATTCAAATAATGCATATAAATTCCATACAGTTTGAACATTCACAAATTTCAGCAAAGTAAATCAAGGGTCATAACTCTACACGTAATTGACGGAAATTGATGACATTCAATAGGCTTCTTCATTTCACTAATTTAAATGATGCATATGAATTTCATACAGATTAGTTGATAACTTTTGTCGTTCAAACGTTCACAAGATTCAACAAAGTTAAACAAGGGCCATAACTCTAGATGTAATAAACGGAAATTTGCTGAAACTCAATAGGCTTGTTAGTTTTACTAATTTAAATGATACATATAAATTTCATACAGATCGGATAATAACTTTTGAGCATTTACAAGGTACAACAAAGTGAAACAAGGGCCATAACTCATGGTATAATTAACGGAAATTGCTGAAATTCAATAAGCTTCTTTGTTCCACTAATTTAAAAGATGCATATCAATTTCAAACAGATCGGATGATAACTGTTGCCATTAGAGCGTTCACAAGATTCAACCAAGTGAAACAAGGGCCATAACTCTAGATGTAATTAACGGAAATTGCTGAAATTCAATAGGATTCTTTGTTTTATGTGGGCGTATAAAAGGGTTGGGGGGACTGGATAGTGTGTGCTCCTTCATGGAATACATGTATATACAAATAGCATAGATAATGCCTTAGATTTTTTTTTTTTTTTAAAAATTCCTAAATCTATATCTTTACCAGGGCTGTCGGTAATTTTTCACAGTTGATTAGCAGCACTGCTAATCAAAAAGTCCAATTTTGCCAAATTTGATTAGCAAATTTAAAAATTGATTAGCAGTTTTTCAGTTTCAACGTAAAACACCTAAATAACAAGATATTACTTTAATTCATAACGAATTGAAATATGATTAGATTCCATTCTGACTATTCTTAGATTTTTTAGCACTGCCACAAGTACTTGTGACAGTTTGTGAATGTGATGTAGACATTTAGTTAGGTCTTACGTCTGAAGCCAATTCTTGACAGTGACTTCCGAAGCCCCACTCATTTTAATTGTAATTTTTTTGTTACGTTAGAAATCTTCGTTAGAAAACAATTTCGTCTGCTTTTTATCGTGTATTATTATTTTTGTTCAATCGGGCGCACCTCGATTAACTAGACACACGCGATATAAACAATAATATTTTACGGGAATTTTTACTTTGATTTATCATTTTACAATACGTTAACATGTGTTTATTTTTTTATATTTTATTTACAATACGTGGGAGATACACTGGATTTATTTCTTTCAAAATGAATATGATATAATTACTTGATGTCTCACAACGTGAGTGGTACTACTTGATTCTCTATTTCCGGTTTAATAGTCCCTATTCATAGAGTTATGTCCCTGTGTTATATAGTATTGTGTCTGGGCAGTTCGAGAAGAAAATGTCACACGGAGAATTCAGTTTTGTTTATAAAATTTTATTCAACATTTTATACACGTTGAAAGTGTTGAGTAAGCCTTCTAGTCTTCAAAATGTGGATTATTCTTGTGTCAATATCCAAAATGACTGGCATATTAATGATTCGCAGTAACTGCGAATCAAAAACGTTAGATTTTAATTTTTGGTTAGCAACGGACAAAATATGTATCGCAAATTGCGCTGCGATACTGGTTGTCGGCAGCCCTGATCTTTACAAATGACAAGAGAGGGGTTTATGAGAGAGAGAGAGATAGAGAGAGTTTAACATCCACTACACAATCTTGGTCATACTAGGTCATTTCGGGACAAACATATGGTTCAATTTTATTTTAATAATTCGCTTTCGCGTAGGGGTCTTTAGCAGTGGGAGTAAACCGGAGGGCCCGGAGAAAATCCACGAAGTTGGACAGGCGACCCTACTTCTTGTCATGCACAACCGGCGAATTAACTAATATGTTAGTCCGAAAAGACCTAGAGGATGTTAAACCCCATTTCTCTTTCATAAAAGAAGATTTTAGCCATGGTATTGTGCTTAATGCCTAAAAGTCCAAGTTGATTAATCTACACATCAAGTTGTTTTCATAAATAAAAGTCAAGTGTGCATCCTGTCAAATGTGACAAGCGTAGCGAGGCTCAAAATATTTCTGATGACAACCAACTGACATGCTTCTAAAATATCATCAAACATATATTTATAATGACTTAGATTTTGATTTTTTGAATAGTAAAATCCACCAACAAAATGAAAAAATCACTAAATCTATATTTTTAGAAATGACAAGGGAGGGGTTTATGAGAGTATGGGATGGAATATCTACCACATGTAATAAGGGGTGTTTTTTTCCTTGTTTTAAATTACGTGTGAAATTTTATAATATACTAGAAGAATGCCCGGCTTCGCTCGGGGGTCATAACTCCGAAACCGGAAGTGGTAGACTAACGCCACCTGGCCTATGTTACTCCCTGGTCCGAGCTACCCTATACCCCAAATTTCAGACTCGGGGCAGACCTAGTGTAGCCGCCAACCCCGAACAGACAGACAGACAGACAAACAAACAAACAGACAAACGACAGTCAGAAATATTAGTATATAGATTTACTTACTTTTTGAGGAGGATAACCTTCATAACAATGTACTCTACCCTGCATTAATACCACGGATTTACCACTTAATTTACCAAATACCAACTTTCCTTCATGTCCAGGTACTGGAATAACAATAATTGGTTGTGAACACGGGTTTGTTTCAATCTGATTAAAACACTGGGCCCTTATTCACGAAAACTTAAACTAAGTTACAACTGAAATTTTAAGAAATACTGCAACTTCATTGGATATATGCAAATTGATTTTACTGGTAAGCCAATCGAATTGCAGTATTTCTTAAAATTTCGATTTTATCTTAGTTTAAGTTTTCGTGAATAAGGGCCCAGATCCTATTTCGTTTCGTTTTTTATAGTCCAAAATTTCGTTTTTCTTGTCTTTACTAGACTAGGATATGGAAGAGTTGTTATATAACCCGCTTTCTGATTGATGTGAGGGATTAGCCAATGAAACGGTCTGTTACGATGAGTTTTTGACGTGAGATGCATGGAACTGTGGGTAACCCACTAGAAACATCAACGCTGATTAGTTAATCAACTGTTATTCAATAGAATCTGGGTTTGTGTACCAAGGGGGCCCATGCCAAGAGCCCTTAAAAATAATCAAATAAAATTCTTAATTATGAATGGATGTAAAAAATTATATTTGTTAGGGTGGAATAGGCCCCTTCTATGTCCCTGGTACCAATGACATTCTCAACGACCCTGTCTGTCAGCATACTGACATTTCCAGAATATTTCCTAAGATTCCAAAATTGATGAATGGTACATTTACAAGTATCTCTGAAAAATATTACCATTACAGGTATGGACATGCATTTATTCACCTGTTCAGGTAGTCATAAAACACCTGCTAATGATAACAATTATTGATCCATGCATTCTTAATTAGCACCAAGGATGCCAATTTCAAGGTGTGCAAAAATCCATAGATACCATAAATTAAATTTAATAGATCATTATCTCTGTCTAATTTACCTGTGCTGATTGGAAAACCAGGCGTTAATTTAATAGATCATAATATCTGTCTAATTTACCTGTGCTGATTGGAAAACTAGGTATATAATTTACCTGTGCTAATGGGAAATCCAGGTATATCTTTGTATGGAATAATTTCTTGATCTGTGACAACGTCTACTAATTTACCCAATCCGGATCCGCAAATAATTCCAATATTTGGTCGGCCTTTAACTTTCGATAATATTCCATTTGCAAGACTCTGTATTTCTTCGTAGGAGGTCCTGCAAATATTTTTTATAGATATTATTAATATAATTTTTAAAAATATGACACACCAGGGCGTTAATCACACTGCTGGTAAAAAAATATCAAATATTTCTTCAAAGGTGGCCCTGAAATTTTTTTTTTATAGATATTATTAATATAATTTTAAAAAAATATGACACATCAGGGCATTATGCACACTGCTGGTAAAAGAATATCAAATATATCTTTGCCTCCAATGTATTTGACTTCAGTCAAGATGGCTGATTCTTACTCAATAAGTAATAAATATCCTTGTCCAACAACAAGATTGATCTCAAACATTACAGATGCCTTTCTAAAGCATAACAATTTATATTCTTTTGATATGCGAACAAAATTATAAATTCCTTATAAAACGGTACTTACATTGCTCAATTTCACTAGAGTTAACAGTAGTTTAAGAATACACCTGTGCCAATGAATGAGCTAAAACTAACATTGAAATGAATGTGTCAGTTTGTTTTGAAACTGACAACAAACTGTGACAGGGTTATGGTATAATCAGAAACTGTTATGTTATGTCATGTTTAAATATATTGTTAGGAGAGATAAGCACTTCCTATTTTACATTTAAATGGGTGCTATTGTGTATTGGACATGTCCTGAGATAATTACGACTCCTGACTACACATTTCTAAATGGTCGAATCCATTACGATTGCAGGTAAACAGCTACATAACACAGTATGTTAAATAGGCAGTATGCAAGAGTTAAATCTGCCTATTGCACAGAGAGAGAGAGAGAGAGAGAGAGAGAGAGAGAGAGAGATGGGGTTTAGTCCACTCGACACAAACTAGGTCATTTCAGGACTAACATATGGTTCAATTTCATTTCAATAATTTGCTTGTGTGTAGGGATCTTTAGCAGGCGGAGGAAACCGGAGGACCCGGAGAAAACCGACGAGGTTGGACAGGCGACCCTACTCCTTGTCACGTACAACTGGGGAATTGAAACCACATCAGTTGACTCAATGACAGACCTTATGATACAATGCACGTACGCGCTGACCTTTGAGTGAAATAGACAATAGAATTTATCCTTGGCCTTAGCCCTGTTATTGTCACAATATTTTAAAATAAACTCATACCATAGCTAATATTTTGACAATGGAGAAGACAAATAAAACATATGTATTATCAAAGTTTAAAATAAACTCATACCATAGCTAATATTTTGACAATGGAGAAGACAAATAAAACATATGTATTATCAAATTATAACTCATGCCCTCTGGTGCACTTCTATTCACCTAATGCAATTTCGCATAAATTACCAAATAGTATTTAAAAAATCAACTGTATATAATTCCAGCTTTGATTCAGTTGCACGAAAAAGAAGTTTATAAATATTTTGTGAAAAGAGAGAGAGAGAGAGAGAGAGAGAGACAGGGAGTTTTAATAATTTTCCAACAATGGTTTGAAACTAAACATCAAAAACAGAAACTCCTGCTAAAACAGCCCAACTACAAGATACCTGAGGCTGAGTTGTATTAATGAAAACTATGTCACTAAAATTCCTATTATTCTACAGAAGTACAAGTATTGAGGTTAGAAATTAGAAAGTTGATTCTTCAAAGAAGCTAAAACGGTTTCAGACAACTGTCACCACGGTCAATCAGGATCTTATAATTACCTTTCTATGGTTGAATTAATTATGGGTTACCTGAACACTGATAGAACATCTTAGAGCATAGTCCTCTTAACGTGAATCCCCGGTTGTACGTGACAAGGAGTAGGGTCGCCTGTCCAACCTAGTGGGTTTTCTCCGGGTCCTCCGGTTTCCTCCCAATGCTAAAGACCCCTACGCGCAAGCGAATTATTGAAATAAAATTAAACCATATGTTAGTCCCGAAATGACCTAGTTTGTGTCGAGTGGACGTTAAACCCCATTTCTCTCTCTCTCTCTCTCTCTCTCTCTCTCTCTCTCCTCTTAATGTGCAGAAATAAGGGGGTTATAAAAGAGGGTGTTGAGTGGAATTGATCAGACCTCACCCACATATTCCAAGCAGCCATCATCTATGCTTTATTGAAAACGAGGGACCTTTGAAGCCAAATAGTTTAACAATAACGTTGTAGAAACCAACTAACCTGTAGTTTTATTACGATCACGGAGAAACACAACAAGGAAGTCCGATATTACTAGAAAATTATGTGTTGTTAAATACCCATTACCACCAGTATTTATTTTAACTTAAAGATACATTATGTAAGATTTAGATAAAGAACTAGCCATTCTTGCTATAATAGCTCGAAAGTAGATGTAAAATGAATAATTTGAAAATTTCATTCAAATTACTCTATTGCAAGCGAAGATATTAGCCTTTGAAGGTTTGACAGACGTGTGCAATAATTTTAACCACCGTACTGGTTGATCGAAGCTATGTCTCGGTCCTCCATATTTGATTAAATCAAAGTATCACTGAACCATTCTAATGTATTTAATATCGGAGAAATCTGATGCTATCGAGAGTTGATTAAGGCCTGGATCAGTTAATTAATGTCTAATTAATACTTTAGAAAACATTTCAGGCCTAAAGAAAGACCTGCAATAAGTCGTTAATATTTGGGACGTAGAAATTGACACAAATAGGTCTCAACGCATAGCCTATAATAATGTACCATAATATGAATGCATGTAAACTGATTTACAGTCAATCATTTCTGTTGTTACCGTAATTTCTAATCAGTTATGTTTGACGAAATATGCCAAAAGTCTCAATTGAATGGCAATCTCTAGCATCTGGTTATCCAATTCTACACTGATAGTATTTATTATGCATACTCTCCAGATAAGAATAGGGCGTCGCTGTGTCACATGGTTTGTGGAATATGTCCAGCCTTGTTCTTCGAGTCCCTTGTAACAAATGGCGCACAATTTGTGTACCAATGGTAAAATGTTTATTTTGTCTTAAATACTGAATATCAGAAGCCCATCTTTTCCCGGTAAGATCACAACATCAATGTTGATTTAAATTGACAATAATTTGCGTTATCAATGTCAAAGAATTGGACGATATTGAGTTTGAGACGTATAGCCACTTTAAATGGTTTATTTTCCAAGAAAAAGGAAATGAAATGAAATGAAATGGGGTTTAACGTCCTACTGTTCTGCTCCTATACTATGACTGGGCTAATGAAGATGCTATGATGAGGCATTCTTTATGATAAAATAAATAATGTAGGCCTATCTGTTCTATATGACTTGGTTGTTAAGACACTAATCTCCAATAGTTTAAGTTTAGTTAGCTACCCAATAAAAGATTATTAAAATGTTGCCACTAGTGACTTGAACTAAACAGTTAATTAAAATGGTAGATAATGCTAGATTTATAAGGACAATTGATATTGTTGTAGAAGGAGTTTAGTTACATACTAAATCATTAAAACAAGGAGACAATGAATACATTTAATTATATTGAAAACAGTGTAGGAGATTAGTGTCTGAATGTAGTCATTACTTTTATTGTCTAGAGAGAGAGAAATGGGGTTTAACGTCCACTCGACACAAATTAGGTCATATCGGGACTAACATATGGTTTAATTTTATTTCAATAATTCACTTGCGCGTAGGGTTCTTTAGCAGTGGGAGGAAACCGGAGCACCCGGAGAAAACCCACGAGGTTGGACAGGCGACCCTACTCCTTGTCACGTACAACCGGGGAACTTTTATGGTCTACATTTAATTTAGAATATAGATTACAATATTCAGTAGGCCTTATTCAGTAGGCCTATGTAATAAAATGATTAAATTTTATGAATGAAAATTATGAAAATATATTCTACAACAAATTGCTTTGAAATGATTGGTTATAGCACTATCTTGGCTACTGCCATGGGTTCTTTTACGTGCACGCCAATGTATACACAGGACCTGTTTTTCGCCCCATCCGAACGACTAGACAGCTGTCCTTGTCCGGCCCTCCGTCATGTAGCACTAGCACTGACATGGGGAAATGAAATGAAATGAAATGGAGTTTAACGTCCTACTGTTCTGCTCCTAACCTGGGCTAATGAAGACGGAGACATGGGGAAACCACGTCGGAAAATCCCCAAGAAAAAGGGGGAAAAAAATTAAAATCAAAATAAATACTGACAATTCAAGATAATGGGTGAAAAAGTTGATATCATTTCTGATCCTAAGATCTACTCTTCTGTCTTTGTAAATAGAAAAAATTAAAAGACATTTTTCTATTTGTTGACTTTTTATATAATTTTGATTTCATCATCATTTTTGGAGAATGGTTAATTCCACTACCGGTACCGTGCGGTTCTATTGACATTTGAGTGTTGACATTTCTAACGTTATTAAAAATAATTTAACACTTCTCACCCTGTCTGAGTCCTGTTATTATTAGATTCACTCATGCTGTCGGTTCCTGCTTGAGATAACACCAAATTTGTTTTTACTTCGATTCCTCTTCTCGCACGAGATTCCAATGCGCTTGTTTGCTTGTCGTGTCCTAATAGTAACAGCGACCTTGATCTTTCTTTTGTTGACCAATCAACAATCAGAACATAAACACACCTCCGTGACGTCAACGGTTCAATGATAAACAACACCACGTGACTCAAACGGATTCATTCATAAATAAATAAAGCTTACTCAACTCAATAACTAGGTAGGTTTCAAGAATGTTCTTTTGAAATCTAAATAGGTCACACGTTTCTGTTGTCAATATAGACCGTTACATATATTTTTTGGCTATAAATTACTACGTAGGGGGGGGGGGGGGAGTGTTCTCAAGGGTGCTGTAAAATTGACGGAGAAAGTATGTCTATGGTCGACAATTTTTTCACAGGGGGGGGGGGGGGCGAAACTTTTTGCAAGGGGGTGGGTGGGGCTTGGCATCGCCCTGCGCCCCCTCCCGTTACGGGCCTGCGACAACGAAGGCTGTCAGTTAGGGTCACACTCGCATTTTTTGTCCCGTGTCCGCCGCGTGGGTGCTCTTCTGGGAATCTAGTATTTTCCTAGTATTGAGTTCTCTACTTTTCATATTAATTACTTTTCTTGGAAATAAAAACCCTGTTAATTTTATACTTGAATTACTTCCGTGTGAATGTATCTTAACCACATATAGAAATATGATATATATAACTCTATATGTTCTTAAAGATGGGTTCCCAGAAAAGTATTTATCGGGTGGTTATTTCCAATAAAAGTATGGCAATTTTGGTATAATAATGGAAAGTAAAGATATCCAATCTTACTAGAAAAATACTGGATTCCCCGAAAAACACTCATTGGGCGTATACAGGACAAAAATGTAAGGGCTCCCCTAATCGACAGACCCATATTAGGAATTTGTAATAAATAGTGATTTGAAGCAAAATTATGACAAATTAATTACTTTGAATATGTTTTTAGTCCATATATACCATTAAATCACCAAGTTTGTACGCGGGAATGTATCTTTAACCCATTTATCTCTCTGATATTAAAGGCTCAATACCACTCTTGTTGTAACCGAATAATATGTCCAAATCTTTATTCTGGTCAACAAATTGTACTATTTTACAATATTCCAATTAATTGATGAAACAAATTTCATCTTAACACACCTAATTTAAAAAATCGGAAAAAATTCAACTAAATGATTTGAAAAGCCTGACGTAATAAAGCTTTTCAAATGTGACTTGGATTTAAAAATATTTTTGAACCCTCTGGACAAGTAAAATAGGATTTAATGGATAATTTACACAACAGGTAGGACACTAACACATCTAGTACTTAGAATAAGGCTATTATTTATTTTCTGGAGCTGTCAAGCCAGCAAGAGTGTTATTGTCCCTTTAAGACGGTGGAAAGTGTGCGTATGTACCGCTGTGTGTAGTACGTATTATTATGTGAACAGAATATGCGCCGAGTTGACACAGCATTCTCAGACTATAAGAATTTACTCAAAATTGTTCGCCTTATTTTAACTATAAATTATAGCCCTTTGTAAAACTTTTGATGTTTTAATGTATCAACTACATCAATAAGAAACTATGTGCAAAATTTTGTGTTTCTGGATCAAATATATTTCTCATAGCAATAAACAGTGATTATGAAGAAAGTTGAGAAAAATTTTAACTTATTAAGTTTGAGAACGCTTTGTGAACTCGGGTCTCGGGTCCAGGCCTGTAATAATTTAAATTGAAAAGCCAGCAATACAATATGAAAGATGTCCCTCTTAATTAATACTTAACAAAGGGAAAATAAATTATTCGGGAACTATTCGAATTTTATAATATGGTGAGCTAAAAAATAAAAATACAGGGTATGCTGAAAGACCGTCACTTTAAATTGATGTCAGTTTGTTATCTCCCTTTTAAACAAAGACAGGTGGCGCTCCGAAAATTGATGAAACATGTCCCAGACGTTGTTTGAGGCACTTACAGGTAATATTTTGCTGCAAAATAACCAATTTCCTTACACCAGAGAACTTATATTTAATTCAAATATTCACCATTTTGCTATAAAACTCGAATGCACCTTTGAAACGAAAGACAGGACACGTTTGGTTTGTTTTGGGTTGTTCCGCCATTTTGGATTGCATTGTGGAAAATGAAAGAGATACGATTATAAAAACCACGAAACCACATGGAATTCAAGTGTTTGGCAGAAAATAATCCGGGATTTAACCAGTCTTCAACATTTCCTAAAGTGTTATTCGGAAAGTTAATGAATTGTAACTATTTTTCTAAACTGAACATGGGTGGTCTGGAGTCTCGGGGAAGGGTGGTGCGAAATTCATGGAATCGCCCAAACAACTACGTCCAGTCTCACGTGGGATTGCCCACTGTCGCACAAACTAGACAAGCAATTAGCCTACACACTGATGAAAATAAAATGAACCACATGACCCCAGTAATATAGATACCATTAATAGAAATAATAGACCTGTAGATCAGTTATAATTTGTTCTGTAAAATGAACTTGCTTGCTGTAAAAAGATATAAGAATTAAAAGAGTCCATAATTATTAGCCTATTTACGCCCTATCTCAATCTCTGTCATTGAATTGGTTATCAATTAAGTTAGAGATCTAAGCCAACAACTTTTTAAAAATAGTAATAACTCATTAGGCCTTCCATACGGTATGTGATATTATTACTGATCATTTTATAAAATTAAAGGATTTAAATCCCTAACTAAATATTTTCCATAATATTCGAAATTAAAAGCACGAATAGAATTTAATATCGGTCATCTTGATATTGTTATCTTGCCCTGAAAATATAGGAATTAGGATCCTTATATCCAATATTTAAGACACAATTAGAGATACATTGTGCGAGATACATTATGCGAGCTGGCAATTCTCACTATAATAGTTAAAAACTAGATAATAATGTAAAGGGAATTTGCTAAAAATCTCAGTCAAATTCATCCACTCTGAACCAAGATTTTAGCAATTGAATTTTTGGCCTAGCCTCAGTCATCATTACTAAAGTCGATACGGTAAAAAACATAGTCTTGATTATCCATTTCATGATTAAATCATGACTGGAAGTCGAACAGCAAATCGGAACCTAATCCAATAAACATTGCAGGCTAGCGATGACTTCGAAAATTGATTATGGTCTCATGGATAAGTTAATTAATGTCTATAACATTTGAGGCCTAAAGAAAGACCAGCAATAGGCAGATTTAGCTCTTGTATAATGTATGTTTAATTATGACAGAGACTTTAAAAGGTTACCATAGCTTTATATAATTATTTATTTAATGCAGGTGCTGGTGGTGATAATCAAACTGCTGTAGCAGTTCAATCTTTACTTGATTCACAATCTGTTCCAGAAACACAAGGTAATATTCTAATACTTTACACAGTGGTGGTGGGGGGAGGGGAGTGGGGGTGGATGGTTGAATGGTTAGCATGTGTGCGCTGTATCACAAGGTCTGTTATAGAACCACAAGGTAATATTCTATTACTTTACACAGTTGTCGTGGGGGGAGGGGAGTGGGGTGGATGGCCGAATGGTTATCACGTGCACGCTGTATCACAAGGTCTGTTATAGAAACCTTTACAGTACCATTAGATCCTACAAAGTCCATATTTTTTATTGGGGTTGGAAAATGGCTACATTTATGTTAAACTACTAGACCACCCCCACCTCAAGCTTTAGAGTTGGTATCCCATAATGTAAATAATGTCACTAACTTTCTCTTTAATTAAGGGGAGAGGACGGAGGGCCTGACAAGGACAGATGCCTAGTCGTATGGATGGTACGGAAAACCAAGGTCCCGTGTATTTATTGGCGTGCACATAAAAGATCCCTTGGCAGTTGGAATTCGATATAAGAGTAGGCTATAGTGCCGCTGTCTGGATAAAATTTCTGCTCATAGCACACTGTATTGTGTTTGCGCGTCTTCATTAAACCAGTCGGAGCAGAACAGTAGGACGTTAAACCCCATTTCATTTCTCTAATTAAAGATACATTATGGGAGATTAGATAAAGAGCTGACAGTTCTCGCTATAATAGTTAAAAACTAGATAATGTAAAGGTAATTTGTTGAAAATTTCAGTCAAATTGGTCCACTATGAACCAAGATATCAGCTTTGTAAATTTCCGCCTAGCCTCGTTCATCATTACTAAAGTTAGTGCGTTAAAAAGCATAGTCTCGATTATCCAATGTTTTGATTTAATTATCTTGCACAATTCGCTAATTATCACAGACTAGCGATAACATGGAGAGTTGATTATGATCTGGATAAGTTAATTAATGTATAATTAATAATTTATATAACGTTTCAGGCCTAAAGAAAGATCTGCAATAGGCAGATTTAGCTCTTGCATAATGTATATTTAAGGTTAACACTTAATCGGGGATACCTAGAATTTTTCGAATTTTTGATGTCAGTAGATATCACCATTGTTTGTTTTAGAATACAGAAATATGTGGACCATTTCCTGTATATGATATTTTGTTGTTGTTTTTTTTTTATAGATGAAGAAGATTTATTTCAATGTGGAAAATGTAAAAAACAGTTTAATTCTTTACCATTGTTTGTTGGTCATAAACAATCTGAATGTTCTGTTATTGTACCAGTGATGTCACAATTACGACCTGTACAATCTGTAGTACAACCTATAACACCCTCTACATCATATACCACAGTTAATAGTGCACAGGCTATGAACCAGGTAAATAAACACATATTAAAGTTGCAATTTCATATTTTTAAGTTATATTTTTAAAATTTATTAAAATAAAGCCTTGAAATAGATGGTATCTATAAACAGTCCTACCTTGTTAAAGAATCTATTAATCCTATAATTCACTATTGCCAGTTGAGAAATTGGCAAAAATATCATTTTCATCTTCAAATTTAAATGTTTGAAATTAGCTACTCCATGGTGGAGAATAGAAAACAAGGGACGTAATTGTGTTATTATTTCCGGTGTAAATGAGTTTTAAGTGTGAGAATGACACCTATGATCGTATAATAGTGAGTTGACAACCTATTGAGCAAAAGACATAGAAATAATTATGTTTTGACTTTCTTAGAAAATATGAAATTGTAACTTTAAACTAACTTTCCTATCTTACATAGGGTGGAATTGCCGAATGGTTAGCACATGCGCGCTGTATCATAAGGTCTGCCATTGAGTAAAGAGCTAAATCTGCCTATTGCAGGTCTTTCTTTAAGCCTGAAATGTTATCTAAATTATTAATTAGACATTAATTAACTTATCCAGACCATAATCAACTCTCCATGTTATCGCTAGTCTGTGATAATTAGCGAATTGTGCAAGAAAACTTAACGTAAAATTGGATAAAGTTTGAGAAGGCATTAAATTAATATTATTTTTGGGATATTTTCTTTCAGCCATTGAGTGCATACAGTACTATACCAACATCACCTTTACCTCAGATATCAACACAAAATCTAGTACTTAGTGATGACCTTATGACCTTTACAAACCTTGATAATAGTTTACAAAATTCTACAATCCAGATGGTATGTTTAATTCTTCTTATGAAGAATATTTTTTGTATATTTAATGGCGGAGTGGATTGTCGAATGGTTAATGCGTGCGCATTGGATCAGACGGTCTGTCATTTATTCGAGTGGCTTGGTTTCGATTTCCTGCTTGTACATGACAAGGAGTTGAGTTTTCTCCGTTTTCTCCATTAATCTCTCACTGCTAAAGACCCCTACGCACAAGCGAATTATTGAAATAAAATGGTTAGCACGTTCATGTCGTATCATAAAGTCCATCATTGAGTCAACTGGCATGATTTCGATTCAAGAAGTAGTGTCGCCTGTCCAACTTCGTTTGTTTTCTCCCTCTACTTGCAAGCAAATTACAGAATTAAAATTGAACCAAAATTGAACCATGTTAGTCCCAAAATCACCTAGTTTGTGTTGAGTGGACATTAAACCCCATTTCTCTCCCAAAATTATTTAAGACTTTAAAGTAGGACATTAAACTGCATTGTTTTCATTTCATTTCTTTATCAGTAGTGTATGAAAACTATCAATTCAAGTGGACAATTCTTGCAATTGTTTTGAAATCAAGTTTGAGATGAAAATTATGTGAATGTATGTCTTTAATAGAAGACTTGATCTCACTTTAACTATGTACAACATCTTAAAGAGGGGTCCATATTTTGGCACTAATCTTGATTGGGTATATACCCAGCTTGGGAGCCTATCAGATTCCTTGATCATCATCAATACGTAGTCTTGTGCTTTCCAGCTAAAACTGAATTGCATAGTTTAAGGTTCGTTCAGTGTCAGTGTTAAGGTTTCTGTGGAGGTCGCTGTGTCACAACTTCTGATTGGATGATACTGTTCACATGTCTGCAGATAACGTAGTAATTTTGTGAATTGTTAAGTAATCTAGCAATGTCCAGATGTTGTAAAACTTGCAGTTGTTGCTTCAGGAACATGGTGAATGTAACGATTATATATTATTGTTTCAGGTAACTACGCCATTTAATTGTTTTAAAGAATTCTTGCAATTGTTGCAAAATCAATTTGGTGGTGGGAATTATGTTTTAGTTCAGAAATAATCGCACAAGCCTGTGAATGTAACGATTATATTTTATTGTTTCAGGTAACAACGCCATTTAATAACCGAACGAGTAATAATGTGTCTATATTAAGTCCTGTGAATGTTACGACTACATTTGCTTCTAATGGATCAACTTATACCCAGTGTGTGCCATCTAATTATACCAATACCTTACCTGTACATCAACAAACACAACAAATTACCTTTACTACAATACAACAAGATAATAATAAACAACAAAAACACACAACTAAAGCAGGTAAAATTTTATCATTAAAGTTTCTGTGGGTCGTTTGTATTTTCCAGTCATTGTTTTTTTAAGGCGAGTGATCGCTCTCGAGCACATGCCTCTCACCTGAATGTCGACCGAGGGGAGGTTCCCCCCCCCCCCTTAAAATTGAAAATCGCTCTCCTTTATAAATTCATTGGGGGTGTATTATCATTTATGAAACCAGGAATGACCCCATTTACATGCAGTTATTGATCTTCAGAACCATTTCCCATACACACAACTAATCACTCTCCTTAATATCAGATCACTCTCCTTACTTTCTAAAACACTCTCCTTACTTTCTAAAACACTCTCCTTAATTTCTAAAACACTCTCCTTAATTTCTAAATCATTCTTCTTATCGAAACTGGGAGAGCGTTTTTTTGGGCTCTATAAATGTTATAGATAAAATGGCCTTAATCCAAAACTGCTCCAATCCATGACTTTTAATCATAGCGGGGGCTTGGATGGCCGAATGGTTAGCACGTGTGCGCTGTTTCATAAGGTTTGTCATTAAGTCAACTGGTGTGGTTTCGAATCCACGGTTGTACGTGATAAGGAGTAGGGTCGCCTGTCCAACCTCGTGGGTTTTCTCTGGGTCCTCCGGTTTGCTCCCACTGCTAAAGCGCAAGCAAATTATTGAAATAAACTTAAACCATATGTTAGTCCCAAAATGACCTAGTTTGTGTCAAGTTAAACCCCATTTCTCTCTCTCTTTTTAGTCCTAGCATATTTAGTTTTTATCTTCTGCATGTTGTGAAATTTTCAAATCATGATATATGCATCTTTGTAAATACGGAATGGAATGAAACTATTTTTGGGTCGATATTTCTTTTATAAATTCAACTTTCATAATATGAGATTAATTTCTTCAGTTCGAATCTGATTTTCAAATTATATTTAGAACAATGTTTCAGTGTTTAGCATACCAGATTTTAAATTTTGATTATTCTTCAACTGTCTTTATTAAATTATTAAATTGGTGCTTTGGGAATAGGAGAGTTCAACTTTAGTTAGTTAACAATAAAGGGGACATAACTCCATTATGGCTGCTGTAGTAATCGTTACAGAATATAAACAATAGGCCTTGTCACAAAATGAAATGAAATAGAAAGAAAGAGAGAGATGGGATTAAAGTCAACTCGACACAAATTAGGTCATTTCGAGAATAACACATGGTTCAACATTATTTCAATAATTCACTTGCACGTAGGGGTCTTTAGCAGTGGGAGGAAACCGGATGACCAGGAGAAAACCCATGAGGTTGGACAGGCGACCCTATTTCTTATCACGTACAACCGGGAAATCGAAACCAAACAAGTTGACTAAATGACAGACCTTATGATACAACGTGGGGATCATGGTGGCTAAGTGGGTAAGGACGTTAAACCCCATTTCATTTCATTTATGATACAACGTGCATGCGCTAGCCATTCAGCTATTCCCCTCCCCCTCCAAAATTGAAATGAAATGGTGTGTAGGGTCTTTAATTTAATAAATTGAAATACAGATCTATATTTCGTTCCGTGTGGGTAAGGACGTTAAACCCCATTTCATTTCATTTATGATACAACGTGCATGCGCTAGCCATTCAGCTATTCCCCTCCCCCTCCAAAATTGAAATGAAATGGTGTGTAGGGTCTTTAATTTAATAAATTGAAATACAGATCTATATTTCGTTCCGTGTTTTATACTCCCGATGGCCTGCACTACATTAAGATCTGACCAGTTGTAGTGGGAGGTCGTGTCAGGGGTCATATATGAGCAGCTTTTGACCCCATGGCATCAGAATTTTGATTAACTAATCAGCGATGATGTTTCTACTGGGATACCCACAGTTACATGCAACGAATGCCAAGAACTTGCTGTAACAGACCGTTTCATTGGCTAATCCCTCAGATCAATCAGAACAATGCAGGGTAATATAAAAAACTCTTCCAGATCCTAGTGTAGTAAAGACAAGTAAAACAAATTTTGAACTATAAAAAACGAAACGTAATATGATCTGTGTTTTAATCAGAATGAACTTTTTACAGGGAGAAGAACTCGAACAAATGTAACACGAGCTATGAAAGAAGATGATCACATGATACAAGTTGGTTATAAAGTTAAATTAGATGACGGTACTCCTGGAGTTACACCAAATAAGAAGAAACTCAAATGTCAATATTGTCAGAAATTATTTGCTAAAAACTTTGATCTACAGCAACATATCCGAGCTCACACAGGAGTTAAACCATTCCAATGTATTGTTTGTGGTCGAGCCTTTGCACAGAAATCAAATGTGAAGAAACACATGGCTACTCATAAGGTAGATGTTTAACTAAAGTTGCAATTGCAAATTTTCAAGTTATATTTTTAAAATGTATTAAAATAAAGCCTTAAAATAGATGGTATCTATAAACAGTCCTACCTTGTTAAAGAATAATCCTATTAATCCTATAATTCGCTATTGCCAGCTGAGAAATTGGCAAAAATATCATTTTTAACTTCAAATTCAAACGTTGGAAAATGGCTGCCCCATGTTGTCAATAGCAAAACAGGGGAGGTAATTGTGTTGTTATTTCCTGTGCCATAGATTTTTAAGGGTGGGAAATAATGCCCATGATCGTATAATAGTGATTTGATAACCTATTGAGCAAAAGACAGAAATAATTATGTTTTGACTTTCTTAGAAAATTTGAAATTCTCGCTTTAAACATGCATTATGTAAGAGCTAAATCTACCTATTGCAAGGTATTTTTTCTGGCTTCAAATGTTACATAAACTATTATTTAAACATTTATTAATATGACAAGCCCATAATCAACTATCTTGGCCATCCGAAGGCTCTGATTTCAAGTTGATTAGAACACTGCAGCCTTAAAATGGTTAATGGAGACTTAGTGAAATGTTTAGGTACTTAGTGAAATGTTTAGGTACTTAGTAAATGAATAAACAGGTTCACCCCCTCAAAAAAATCCATAAATCCATAAGTCCTACAAAGGTCCAGCAAATTTCATCAAATTTGCTGGCCTTAAACATCAGTCCGTGTACGATCATTTCCCTAATTTTAAGTTATCTTGGTGGCTTTGCATAAAAGTCATGTTCTTTCCAAAAGATGTGCCATCAAATTAACTCAAACTTTGGTGAATTATCGCACATAGACTGAAGTTAAAGTCCAGTAAATTTCTAATTATCAATTTTTATAAACATAAGTTAGTGAGTATCAAATTATTATTTAATGTTATCAATTGTTATTTAGGTTTGGCCTACAAGTTTAGCATCATCTCTACCTGAACAGCCATTAGCGGAACTTGTAACAGATGAACAGGAAGAAGAGGAACATCAACACCAACACCAGATGTTACCTGATCCAGATCAATCAATTCCTACCTCACAATCTGTAAATATAACTTTTGTTCCTACCTCTAAGATGTCATGTAACAAGTACTCAATTATATTATACTGTTTCTAATGTGTCACGTAAGGTGTCATGTATTTAAAAAATTGATTTGAATTTACCAGTATAATGAATTGATGGAACTAGTTTTCCAAAGCATCAGGCTGACCTTAAAAATATCTTTGTTTCGCCTAACGCGACCGACTAACTAAAACCACCCCCGACTTAAATTATTTTATTGCACTTTTCCACGATCTTTTTATTTTATTTTGTGTGTCAACCTGAAATATATCACGAGAGTTATTTCCCTTTACTATGGCTATGGTTTGATTCATTATTGAAACTGGTTGATCAAGACGAAAGCGTCATAGGTGTCGCTTCTCAACAAAATGGTTGCAGACGAATACACGTCCATTCCCACAAAATGATTCTGCTTCTATGTCTGTGGTGCGTAGTTTTAAACATGACGACGATATTTTCAATATCCGTTTTCGAGAAAAATGAAGGCACAACCCGCAGTATCGTTAAAAACGTGTTGAAGGAGTTTCACACTTCAAGTTCGTGGCAAATCGTTTGCGAGTCGGGCATCACGAAAAATTCCCGATGTCATTCACTCATTTATTTTTTTGCCAATTGAATAAAGAAGACGAATGTTTCCACCCGGAAAATTATTAAGCTGTCAAATTAGCTTTTAAGTTTAATAAAAAAAACTTTCAGTTCGTTACTTTTTACGTCAGACCCCAAATTCATTAAACAAAATTAATGAATCTGTAGTATACAGCTAATAAGTTTTCTGTATTGAATTCACTAACTTTAAAAAAAAAATCTGAAAAAAAACCGACCTACCGACCCTTCTCCTCGATTGTGGGTCGGGTTTGGTGAAACAAAGATATTTTTAAGGTCAGCCTCAGAGATGACTTTACCACAGTTGCTGTATAAAAATGAATTAAAAAATGTTAGAATTATTTATACTTTTTTTCATTCTTTACAGCCTGATGAAAAAGGTGGAAATTCTAAGATAAAGGTTGTGATAGATAATTCGTATGTATGTCACTATTGTCCAGCTAAGTTTAAAACCTACTTCCAGTTAAAGACTCATATGGTGGAACATAAAGTTGAACAGGTGAGATATATATTGAGATTTTACTATTTTAATGTTATATAGGAAAAAACCCCACATGGGTCGCAGCTCAAGACATTAAAGACACAGAAATAAAATTGGTCTGGCCTGATAATACTGATCCATAATAACTTCTTTGTATATTTTGTATATATCCGTGGTTTCCCCTTGTCAGTGGTGCAGGACGGAGGGCCTGACAAGGATAGCTGTCTATTGTTTCGGATGGGACGAAAAACCAAGGTACTGTGTATAAAGTGGCATGCATGTAAAAGATCCTGTGGCAGTTGGAATTCGATACAAAAGTAGGCCATAGTGCCGCTACCCGGGCAAAATTTCGCTCATAGTACACTGGGGGGGTTTGATGGCCGAATGGTTAGCACGTAGCATAAGGTCTGTCATGAGTCAACTGGCGTGGTTTCAATTCCCCGGTTGTAGGTGACAAGGAGAAGGGTCACCTGTCCATCCTCAAGGGTTTTCCCCGGGACTTCCGGTATCCTCCCACTGCTAAAGACCCCTACGCGCAAGCAAAATAAAAATTGAACCATATGTTAGTCCCTAAATGACCTAGTTTGTTATGAGTGGAAGTTAAACCCCATTTCTCTCCCCCTCTCTCTCTCTCACAGCGAATTAGCGACATAAATTTGAAACATATGTTAGTCCCGAAATGACCTAGTTTGTGTCAAGTGGATGTTAAACTCTCTCTCTCTCTCTCTCTCTCCCTCTCTCTCTCTCTCTCACAGCACACTCTATGTCCTATATCCGTCTTCATTACCCCAGTCTGTGCAGAAGAGTAGGACGTTAAACACATTTTATTTTGTATATATCCAGGTTTATAAATGTGTGATGAAGAATTGTGGTAGTACATTTCAAGAACTAGATGCGTTTCTAGAGCATACTAAAACTCATGAAGAAGAGATGTCATACAGATGTCATCTGTGTAATAAATACTTCCCATCTTTATATGAACTAGGTGTACATCAATATACACATAGTTTATATCCTAATCAGGGTCCTAAACCAGGTCCCAGGTAACAATGGTTTATAATATTTTAAAACATAGGGGTGGTTGGATGGTTGAATGGTTAGCACGTGCATGCTGTATCATACGGTCTGTCATTGAGTCAACTGGTGTGGTTTCGAATCCCCCGTTGTACTTGACAAGGAGTAGGGTCGCCTGTCCAACCTCGTTGGTTTTCACTGGGTTCTCCGGTTTCCTCCCACTGCTAAAGACACCTACACGCAGGCGAATTATTGAAATAGAATTGAACCATGTGTTAGGCCCAAAATGACCTAATTTTAGTCGAGTGGATTTTAAACCCCCTTCTCTCTCTCTCTCTTCTAATACAGTAGACCTAAAAATGTTCAGCCATGTCGACTGTAGTCATTGTTGTGACCTCTCCAGAATCTGGTGCTGTGAATTTTGAGTTTCATTAGTTTATTAGTAGATCCATCCATGAGTGTCACAAGCATTTGGCACGGGAAATGGGATGTTAATGGGAAAATAAAATTATTGAGGATAGGGCTAGTAATAGTGTTCACACTGATTAAATACCATGATGGTTGGAAGATAGGGCTAGTAATAGTGTTCACACTGATTAAATACCATGATGGTTGGAAGATAGGGCTAGTAATAGTGGTCACACTGATAAATACTGTGACAGTTGGGTTTCTGTTTCGACTATGATACTCACCACGATCCTTATCATTGTATGGGACAAGGTAAAATAAACGGCTTATTATTGTGGAGTTCTTTCTCAATTCTTAAGGGTATTTCAATAAGAAAAAGAAAGTATAACTTTACCAAGAAAAATAAAGAATAACTTGACTATATTTAAGATGGTATTGATAAGACTTATTTTAAATAGACTCAAAATACCTTTTCTCTCATCCCTATCTTGATTTTTATTTCAGACATTTTCAATGTAATAAATGTTTAAATAAATATTCTACACCTGAAGCTTTAGATGCCCACTTGGCCTCAACTAGTCATCAGTATCAATGTCCACATTGTGAGAAATATTTTACTTGTGAGAGATATTTACGTCGTCATTTACCTACACATGGTACTGAAGGTATGTTACTAGTATTCTTTATAACTTGTGTTTTCCTTTTGTGTTCGTCACTTCCTTTTGTTGAAACCTGCATTACGCATCTATCGTAGCAATGATCTCTGTGTTAAAATTATATTTGGAAGGTGTTTAACCAGTTCTATAACAAATGTGATATTGTCCTTTAAACCAGACAAAATGACAAACAAAAGCGTCTGACAAAAGCTGAATATGTTTCTGACATTATCAGAGTCAGGTGCCATATTTCCAAGCTTGATACCATTCTGCACACAGAGAACGCCACTTTGAGAATAGATCTCTGCCCTAAATGGCAGCCATATCTAACAATTAGTAGTACACTGTTTTGTAATGCGGTTCTACTCCGGTTCACATCTGTTATTCACAAAAAGACCAATTAAACCTTTTCAATTTTTATACGCCCACATTGAAATGTGGACGTATATTGCCGTCGCTCCCATCCGTCCTTGTTCACTGTTTCTTGTGAACGCTCTAACGCCAAAAGTTATCATCCAATTGTTTCAAAATTGATATGTTGTTTACATTAGTCAGATGAAGAATCCTATTTAATTTCAATAATTTCCGTTCATTACATCTAGAGTTATGGCCCTTGTTGAGCCTTGTGAACACTCTAATGCCAAAAGTTATCATCCAATTGTTTTAAAATTGATATATGTTGTTTACATTAGTGAGATGAAGAAGTTTATTTAATTTTAATAATTTCCGTTTAGTACGTCTAGAGTTATGGCCCTTGTTTCACTTTGTTGAGCCTTGTGAATGCTCTGATGCCAAAAGTTAACATCCAATCTTTGTGAAATTTATATGCAATATTTAATTTAGTGAAACCAAGAATCCTATTGAATTTCAGCAATTTCCGCTTATTATGTCTAGAGTTATGGCCCTTGTTTCACTTTATTGAACCTTGTGAACACTGTTAACGCTAAAAGTTATCACCCAATCTTTGTGAAATTTATATGCATGATTTAAATTAGTGAAACGAAGAAGCCTATTGAATTTCAGCACTTTCTGTCAATACTTCTAGAGTTATGGCCTTTGTTTCACTTTGTTGCACCTTGGGAACGCTCAAATGCTCTGCCAATCTGTATGAAATTTACATGCATTATTTAAATTAGGAAAATGAAAAAGCCTGTCAAATTTCAACAAATTCTGTAGATTACTTCCAGAGTCGAGACCCTTGTTAGGGTGACCCACCATAAATAAATATCTCGACAATTACGCCACAATATTTATATATATGCCAAGCCTCAAATCAGTTTCACACAATTATAGTCACTAAATAAACGATCATGTTGTACTTAATAAGCTATGACCATTAATCATCTATAAATAATAGACTGAAAACTGTTAATAGAACACAATTTTTATGGGAAACAATCACTGGTTTATTCTAAAAGCACGACGTTTCGACAAGTATCCTCTTATCGTTATCAAGCTTGATAACGATAAGAGAATACTTGTCGAAACGTCGTGCTTTTAGAATAAACCAGTGATTGTTTCCCATAAAAATTGTGTTCTATTAACTTGTCGAAACGTCGTGCTTTTAGAATAAACCAGTGATTGTTTCCAATAAAAATTGTGTTCTATTAATGTGTTTTCCAATCGCTAAATGCCACTTAAAGATTAGACTGAAAACTATTTCAAAGTGTCGTCCATAACATCCAGACACTTTTGAGTAAAAGATAGGTTACGTGCCCTTGTTTTGAAATTAGTCTCGGTTATCCAGTCTATCGACCATTCTACGTCTGATTGACAGTTTGGGATAATCAAGACTACTTTTTTACGAAACATAACAGAAAGCTAGAACAAGAAATTGAATTTAGAAATAAGCACTTTAGACAACTCAACAATTGTTTTAAGAAACCTGTAAAAGTAAAATGAAACTACTGCTAGTATCATGTTCCTGTCTAACCCGAGTGTTTCAGAGATATTATTTGTACTAAACCAAAAGATGCGGCTCTTAACGGTACAGTTAATGATAAAGCAATTTAAAAAATAAAACAAACGTAATTTCTAAAGCTGCTGTAATAACCAAGAAGCTAACTTTTACTGCTATTCAAAATCGTCAACAATAGATTTTTTACAGCTGTAATAGTTGATATATTTGTAGAGAATTGCACGTGCCATGGCTATTTATCGACTCAAAGAGACTGCGGGGTAGTCAGAAATCAGTTCGAGACACGCAACTGAAGCGTGCACATTTAGCCGTGTCGAGACCAACTTTCTGTAGAGTGCACGGGTCACCCTACCCTTGTTTCAGTTTGTAGAACCTTGTAAACCCTCAAACGACAAAATTTATAATCTGATCTGTATGGAACTGTCTTGTAAAAGCTACCAATTACCTACAAAGGAATAAATATGCGACAACCCTTGTCGACCGCTCGGATGATTTAGCTTCTGTGGGCGTATGTTTCGTTGCCTGGCAACCTATCTTATTAAATGAAAGCAGATTTAGGACTTAAAATGTCAGTCAACTGGTTTAGTGTCTGCTCTCAAGTGGAGGTATATGTAGACACTATGTTTTCTATAGAGCACATGGTAATTATGTATCAACTACTGGAATGGTTTTTCTACGGCCAATGCAGCCATTTTGATGATTTAAGTAGCCAAAAGGGAATATTTAATTAATAAATAATTATCACAAGCCTTACTAATATTTCATTTTTAAGTCCAATATATAATTTTTTGTGTACACCATGCTGACAAATTGTTATAGACACGTGAATTCACAATACCCTACCATGAATAAAAAACATGAAATATGAATTTACTTTGCAAAGTTTTCATGTGTTATCAATCAAAAATGACTGGCAGTGAAAATTTTGAAGTGGAAGACAGCGTAAGTTTAGTATGGCTTGATACTACTAATTTCTTTGTTCTGTTTTTTTTTTTTCAGGTCAGTTTCAGTGTACTGTATGTTGGAAGAAGTTTAAAACTGAACATTATTTAAAGATGCATCTATTGATCCATACGGGAGAAAAACCATTCTCTTGTAATATATGTAGCCATTCATTTAATCGTAAAGATAAATTAAAACGTCATATGTTGATACATGATACAGTTAAAAAATACAGGTGTCCTTTTAAATCGTTAACAGGTAGGTAGATTAATTTAAATTATCAGGGGGGGGGGGGGTCGGATGGCCGAATGGTTAGCACGCGTGGGTTGCATCATACGGTCTGTCATTGAGTCAACTGGAGGAGTTTCGATTCCACGGTTGTGCGTGACAAGGAGTAGGGTCGCCTGTCCAAGCTCGTGGGTTTTCTATGGGTCCCTCCCAATGCTAAAGACCCCTACATGCACGCGAATTATTGAAATAAAATTGAACTGTGTGTTAGTCCCGAAATGACCTAGTTTGTGTCAAGTGTACGTTAAACCCTATTTCTCTCTATATATATATTATCCTAATTTTGGTGTCACGGTGGCTAAGTGGGCGTTGGAGGTCGTGAGTTCGATCCCTGTGTTAGCCGAGAAAGTTCATCAGGATTTTCCAACGTGGTTTTCCCTTGTCATTGGTGCAGTACGGAGGGCCTGACAAGGACAAGTGTCTAGTCGTTCAGATGGGACGAAAGACCAAGGTCCCTTGTATGTATTGGCATGCACATAAAATATCCCTTGACACTTGGATTTCGATATAAGAGTAGGCCATAGTGCCACTGCCTGGGCAAATTTCCCTCATAGCACACTGTATGGCATATGCCCGTCTTCAATAGCCCAGTATAAAAGCATAACAGTCAGATGTTGAACCCCATTTCATTTCATGTCTGCTTGAATTAGTAGAACTTACACATGTACTTGATTCTCCTTCAGGTTGTACCAAAGAGTTTAACAGACCCGATAAATTAAAGGCCCATATTATATCACATAGTGGTATCAAGCCCTTTAAATGTACCATGTGTGGTAAGGGATTTAGTCGTAAACCTCATCTAGTCGAGCATGAACGAGGACATAAGGCCGACTATAAATATCGCTGTGAAAAATGTGGCAAAGGCTTTTTTAGGCCAAAGCTCTTCTCGGAGCATAAATGCGTAGAACCAAAAATCGGCGGTGCAGAGTCTAATATTTTTCGTCCCCGGAGTAGACGAAAGATCGGTAGACCCAGGAAACGTAACTCCGAGCCTGCTGTAAAAACAGAATCAAGAGAACCGGTGAACAAACCATACGGTACCAGATCGACTACAAGACCCAAAAAACCTACAAATATTGGAGTAACTTTGGAGGAAACAGGGCAAGTTCCGCCCTTGGTGTCTCAAGGTGAAATGAACAATGTGACCTCATCTGCGATGAAACAACATATGGATAGTTATTCCGGAACAGTTGCTAATGTTGCTGTAACACCTAGTGCTAATATGATGAATTCGTCCACGGTCGTCCTGGAAACCAGAAAAACGCAATCCATGTTAGAACATGAATACGGACAAGGGGAGTTAATCGATCATTATGTCGTACATTTAGCAGAAGCCAGCGACGGAAGTGCTCCCACTATTCAAACAACATTTATTCCCGCTGTTTCGGGAACGCAGGTTCTGACAGAAAACGGCGCTATACCCGTGACTATCATCGAAGCTCAACCTGTTCAGATGTCGGATCAAGGATTTGCTGTTTCTCGTGACGATTCCATGGTGACAGCTCAGGTTCTTGTAGCATCTTCACGAGATGGACAGCAGACCCTAGTGACTTGCCCCGCCCAATTGGTCGATTATAGTACCAATGATAACGACCCCGTTTTACAAGGTACGGAAAATATGCTGAAAGCATCTGCTGAAATTCTGAGTTCTTCTGGTCCACATGAACTTTTACATCATCAGACTTCTCACGAAGAACTTTTACATAATCAGGCCTCCCATTCAGAACTTTTACATAATCAAGCCTCCCATGCTGAACTTTTACGGAACTCGAATACTGATTGTTTATGATGTTGTTATTGTTACAAATTAGTCGATTTGTAAAATTATATTCTGTCGTCGAATATCTTTTGATATTGTCTTAGGTTTTCTTATTTTTCATGTTGATATCTATTTACAATATTCACTGGTGACAAATGTTAGAATATGTCTTTTTTCTTGTCAGTTCTAATGAATGTATGCAAAAATTTTGATCTTGATCAGGCCGGGAAGAAATGGCTTTAATTTACCGGTACCCAAGAAAATATCATGCATTAATAAACTAGTATCTGAGATTTTGAAATTTGTGTCGGATATTACAATTGAAGAGACCCGGGGAAGAAAGATCTAAGTCACTTTTTCAACGAACCCCAGTTAATGGCGTAATCAGGTAGAAAATTGTACAAGCTTTCTGTGGAACAATCAATTTCAGGTAAAAACGATTGGAGTCGCATCGAACCAAGGCCCTTCTGAAATGGCCTAACGGACAAATACAAGTCCATCATACCCTTTATTTGACCTTAATTTGGCTGAAAAGTGGAAGTCAGTTGTTGTACTGGTAATTATGATCAGTATTAAACATCATTTTGAAGTTGTAATTAAACCCAGTCGTTGTTCTGTTCGTGTCAAGCATTTTCATTGAAAGGTCTGTTTTGCCATTTATGCAAAAAGACAAAAATTTGACTTGGATCGTTCTTCCCATGGACTCTTCAATTATCACCGATAACACAAATCGGTACCAGATTAATCGACAGGCACCAGAGGTATTATGTCTGACATATCCTCAATTTATACCTAACAATGGCTGTGGCAGGTGCTTTATTTCTAGTGTTGTGTTTATTAGTACATGATATTTGTATATACTGTTTTAAATATACAAGGTGGTCGAAAGGTTAGCATGTGTGCATGCGATCATAAGGTCTGTCATTGAGTCAACTGGCGTAGTTTCGATTCCCGCTTGTATGTGACAAAAAGTAGGGTTGCCTGTACAACCTTGTGGGTTTTCTCTGGGTCCTCCGGTTCCTCCCAATGTTAAAGACCCCTACGCGCAAGTGAAGTTAGACCCTGAAATGACCCACTTTGTGACAAGTGGATGTTAAATTCCATTTTTCTCTCTCTTTCTCTCTAGATATACAATGTATATTTAATGATTTAAGAATAATAGAGCTTTAATATCTATATAATAAGTATTTGGTTGTTAATTATTGTATATTGGTTGCTAGTTGTAAGCTTTTGCTACATGTATATTTATCAAATCTAACATTTATTATCCATGTTGTCATCAGGTCTGGAAATAACGATTTTAGATGTACCTCAAACATTGTCAGGCACCGATGAAATATTACCAGGCATTTTTAACTTAGTGCCGGACATGTATTAATAATTTCAATAAAAAAGATAAATCAGTGCCGGACAAAATGACAGGCACCAGAGGTTTTGTGCCTGAATCTGTGCCTGACATTGTCTGTGACAGGTGCCTTATTTCCTGGCTTGGTTTGACGAGTGTTGAAAGCCCCAGTTCTTCATTTGTATTCTTCAGACAATATCTCAATTTTCATGTCGCCTGTCTAACCTCGTGGGTTTCATCAGGGTCCTCCGGTTTCCTCCCACTGCTAAAGAACCCTACGCGCAAGAGAATTATTGAAATAAAAATTGAACCATATGTTGGTCCCGAAATGACCTAGTTTGTGTCGAGTGGAGGTTAAACCCCATCTCTCTCTCTCTCTCTCTCTCTCTCTTGGTGATTCTGTCAGGTCTTATCATATTTTGAGGTTAGTCGTAGCAATCCTGTTAGTCGTATTGAAGTGTATCTGCACGTACCAGATCGTCGACTCAATAGGGACAATCCTATCGTAACGCATCGCACGACACTGGGAACCTAACATTACTGAAGGATGCAAATATTTGTAAATGCTGAAAGATAATTTTGGGCTTATTCCTTTTAGAGATTCAACTTTTTCACGGATTTCAAAATCCCACAAAAGATGATTAACGACTTTAACTGTGTTTCTATGGAAATATTTTTTATCAAACTTCTTTTTACTATTCATAACACAACTTTATGGATTTACTACTTCTTAGTTTATTACATACAAAATGGCGACAAAATGGAAGTTATCTACTCGCGCACACAAACAAAAGCTTGAAACGTGCCTTTGAATCAATTATCCGGCTCTCGCAGATTATTTTTAATCGGGCTAAGATTTAATTTCGGTCTTCGGATAACTCAGATCTTCATCACGTAACTCATATAAAATTGGACAGTCCACTTAGATCCGACTTACATGAGGTTTACTGTATAGTTTTTCTACGAACTTATTAATTAATAGGAATGAAATACAATTGGACAGTCCACTTAGATCCGACTTACATGAGGTTTACTGTATAGTTTTTCTACGAACTTATTAATTAATAGGAATGAAATACAATTTACTTTATGTAATATAAGACATTCTTAATAGAACTCTATAGTATTTCTTTGAACTTCTTAAAGATACATTATGTAAGATTTAGATAAAGAGCTAGACATTCTTGCTATAATAGTTCCAAAATAGATAATGTAAATTGAATAATTTGAAAATTTCATTCAAATTACTCTGCTGCGAGCGAAGATATTAGCCTTTGAAGGTTTGATAAGACGTGTGCAATAATTTCAACCACGATACTGGTTGTGTTCGAAGCAAAGTCTTGCTCCTCCATTTTTTAGCTTAAATCAAAATATGTCAGAACTTTTCTAATCTATTTAATATCGGAGAAATTTGATGCTATCGAAAGTTGATTTTGGCCTGGATCAGTTAATTAATGTCTAATTAATTGATGTATGTTTAATAGGAGTGAACTACAATTTACTTTATATAAGACATTCTTAATAGAACTCCATCTATTAATTAATAGGAATGAAATGTGTCAGCTTATTTTTTTAAAATTTAAGATATTCTGTTATATTGTATAATAGTAATCCTTGTTACAGCTGATTAGTGAATGTAATTATTTAATTAGCTGATTAGTGAATATAATTATTAAATTAATTGATTAGTGAATATAATTATTTAATTAATTGATTAGTGAATATAATTATTTAATTTGTTGATTAGTGAATATAATTATTTAATTAGTTGATTTTTGAACATAATTATTTAATTAGCTGATTAGTGAATATAATTATTTAATTAGTTGATTAGTGATAGTGTAGTCTGCTGTTAGTTTTAAACTTTTATATCCATTGTATAATGGTTGTCAAATCTTTTTCCACTATAAAACCCTTTTTTCAATGAATTATGTAGTTTTTGGAATTTGTATAACCCCACATTTTCATGTAGATGTATATTGTTGTCGCCCCTGTCCATCGACAATTTGTTTGTAGACACTCTATAGGTCACATTTTTTATCTGATTATATGATGATGAGTTAGTTGTATTTTACGTCCGCTTCCACCGAGGTGATATCGCAGACAATATCTGATTATAGGTTTATATAGGTTTATATCCCAACGATCTCAATTCCTTTTGATCGTAACTTTCTGGATTATCTCCCCTGATTGTACGAAAAATCATGTTTTTTTTTTTTTTTTGTTTTCTATCCATCATTCGCAAGATGTGGGTGTATCTTGCCTTGCAACCGCTGGCTGTTTGTGCACAAGGCATGAGCACAATATACATACAAGACAGAAGGGGGCATGTATTTAAAGGACGTAAAGCCCTAATTCAGTATTATCCACAGTCTTCGACATTACCAACAGGAGTTATTGGTTCAATCTAATCAATAGTGATATTGTTCTCTTAATGTGAAATCCGGTTTCCCCCCACTGCTAAAGATCCCTACCCGCAAGTGAATTATTGAAATAAAACCGAACCATGTGTTAGTCCCGAAAATGACCAGGTTGTGGAGTTAAACCTCTCTCTCTCTCTCTCTCTCTCTCTCACACTCTCTTACTGTGAAAATATGAGCTCATGATATTGAATATCTAATAAATAATTATTGGTTCATTCCATTCAATAGCGGAGGGCCTGACAAGGACAGCTGTCTAGTCGTTCGGATGGGACAAAAAACCAAAGTCCCGTGTATACATTGGCATGCACATAAAAGATCATTTGACAGTTGGAATTTGATATAAGAGTAGGCCATAGTGCCGCTGCCCGGGCAAAATTTCCCTCCTACTACACTCAATGGCGTATGCCCGTCTTCATTAGCCCATTCGGAGCAGAACAGTAGGTTGTTAAACCCCATTTCATTTCATTTTCCAATCAATAGTGATGTTCTCTTACCATGAAAATATGAGTTAATATGTAATACATAATGATCAATTTTATAATCAGTTCGCGACGGGTGTACTCTATGCTCTTGAGCGCCGTTTGTAATAAGCCCAGTCATTAGCCCAGTCGGGGTAGAACAGTAGGATGTTAAACCCCATTTCACTTTATTTCACAGACATTTTAAAATACAACTGAAGAAAAGCAAGGTGTGAGATTATATATTAATACTCTATGCTCTGAGCCCCGTTTGTAATAAGCCCAGTCGGAGCAGAACAGAAGGATGTTAAAGGGCCAATCCCGATAATATTTTGGAGAATAAAATTGCTTAATTGTGTGTTAAAATCCTTTAAAATCCCCATCCTTAGCCACTAACTCAATATATGTGATACATTTTCAAACAATGTAAACCCGTCGGTCTTCGTTTGGAAATGGAGACCGGTGTCCAAAACTGTATTATACGGTGTCTGGATAAAAATGTATAAAAGTAATGTGTAGGTGATAATTACTGTTCGTTATCAAGTACAGCACATGGGTCATTCATTGTATAGACCTCTAAAGGAACGGGGATCGATTATCAGGTCACCCAACGAAAAAATTGACCCGAAATCTTAAAAGGGTAACGTGTCCGGATAAGCAATTTTGACGTTCACGTCCAAACGACTAAATATTTTGAGCTGAGATTTTAAGACAAGGTAAATACACCATTCCTCTATATTTTGGCGCTTAAATTTAACACGTACTCAGACTTTTATTTTTTAGACTCTGTTCAAATCGGGATAGTCCCTTTAAACCCCAATTCATTTCCGTTTTTAGATACAATTGAAGAAAAGCAAGGTGTGAGAGTATATATAAATAGGATACCAGATCCTATTAAATATTATTTATTTGATTAAACATGAATAATTCATGGCATGATAACATAAACCAATAATTTTACATTTAGCTTAAATTATGTTAGAAAAACAGGATATAAATTAATGAAAACAGAAAATAAATTAATTATGTTAGAAAAACAGAATATAAATACATCATTATGTTAGAAAAACAAAATAAATTAATTATGTTAGAAAAACAGAATATAAATTATGTTAGAAAAAACAGAATATAAACAAATTATGTTACAAACAGGAGACAAATGAAGTCTACTCAGATGACCCGACCAATAGTTTTTTTACCCTGATTTAATGTTTGGTCCCGAGGATAATCCGAATGGAAATCTTTACTTCATCTACTTGTAAAGTTACAGCGCTTCAAAACTGACCACTTGTTCCGTTGGAAAGGGCGTGGTTTGTCAGGTCGACTGATAATTAATATTCTAAATATATTTACACAAATACCAGTTTATAGTATGTAAGGATAGTAACCTACTCTTTGTATATATTTCTTTTTCTATGGTAATCTGATTAAAATACAGATCTATATTTCGGTTTGTTTTTTATACTTTCGATCACCAACACTTCATGAAGATCTGACAAGTTGTACTGGAAGTGGCTTTTGACCCCATGTTGTCAGACATTAATTAATCAATCAGCGTTGACGTTTCTAGGGGATTACCCACAGTTCCGTGCAGAGCACGCCAAGAACTCACCGTAACAGACCGTTTCATTTGCTAATTCCCCACATCAAACAGAACAACTCTTCCGGATCCTAATGTTGTGAAGACAAGTAAAACAAAATTTTGAACTATAAAAAACGAAACGAAATGGGATCTATGTTTTAATCAGATTGTTTGTATGGGTAACACGTGAACAGAAAGCGTTGTAATTCCAATTCACCTTAAAACTTCATTCTTAAAGGATTGTACTTATATGATTGTACACAGGCCCGTAGCCTGCCGAGGGGCAGTGAAGGTTTTAGTGGGGGGGGGGGCAGTCTGCAGTAGGTATTACTGGTATTTTAGAGCTATGGTCGGCAACGTTTTTTTTCGTGGGGGTGGGGGCAAAACATTTTTTCAGGGGGGCAATGCCCCCCACCCCACCTTGCCCCCCCCGCTACATGCCTGATTGTACAAATACTAACCATCAAACATAAAATATAAAACTCAATAAATAAAAGAGACGGAAGGCCATGTTGGTATAATACATTTGACTACCACCGATTTTAAAAAGTAAAAATTACTAAAAACAAAAAAAAAGAGAACCAAACAGTGGAATTATTTCAAAATATATTAAAAGTTATCGTAGGGTATAAATTAAGTCGACGGATCACAAATTGTTTCCAAAATGTTTTGTTTAACATAATCAAACGTGTAGAGCAGGCCATATTATTAAACACTTAGCAAAACAATCGATTCCAACGTTACTGCAGACCCGATCGCTAATAAATGTCGGGTAACTACAATGGAAATCTTTACAATAAACTCTTTCATAAAGCAACAAAAACATGACAAATACATATAATATTATAATTACAAAAAATTGATTCCATGAAAACAAATAATTAAGCATAAAAATATCATAGAATTTCACGTAGTGGACATTAATTAGAATACAGAATATTTTTTTGGGTTAGAGCTATTTGATAAGGAAAACTTCAAGTTTGGTCTAAGGTCAAGAGATGTAAACAGGGCTAGCACTAATTGCAACCCTAACCCTATCCCTAATGGTTACCCTAACAGGCAACTACGAGGCGAATGGGTGCCGTCATGGGTTCGATTCCCGTAAGGGTGAGGAAAGGTTAGACACACGGCCTGTGATTTCGTGGGCGGGAGCGGGGGTCTGTAAAGAACGATCACCTCCCGATAACCCTAACCCTGGACCTAGCCCCAATCCTTACCTTAACCCTAACCCACAATCACATTATTCACATCTCAGCGACCTTGACGAAAATTGAGCTGGCCTTAACAAATAGATCTATCCATATTTTTTACCTGTCTGTAAAAAATGAAACAATAACAAAAGGAAAGACAAGACTTAAACACAAATACATTATGCAGTAGAAAATAATAGAATATAGTCCAATATGGCCAGGGCGTTATTAGGTGGTAAGCTGGGTATACAATCACATGTATATATACACAGGCCCATTGGGCGTAATGATTGGACAAGGGAGGTAATACACTCTAAACTAGGCCTATACTATACATCGATCTACTTTTATTAAATTTAAGAATTTAATGGCTTTAATCAATGACGTCATTGGATTTAATAATTAATATCTATGTAACAACGAACAATATTTTAAATATATATTGACGAATACATATTGACATATCTGTCACATGATCATCTTCATATTAAAGAGTGATGACTTAGTACTTCTTCAAATACGTATCTGATTATTGTCCAGAATGTCAAACCTCTATTCAGTCTGATTAATATACAGATCTATATTTCGTTTCGTTTTTTTGTATACTTTCGATGGCCTACACTACATGAAGTTCTGACCAGTTGTAGTAAAAGGTCGCGTCAGATGTCATACGAGCGACTTTTGACCTTATGACATTAGTCATTGATTAATCAATCAGCGTTGACGTTTCTAGGGGTTTACTCAAAGTTCCGTGCACCTCGAATGCCAAACACTCGCCGTAACAGACCGTTTCATTGGCCTATCCCTCAAATCTTCAAGAACGCGGGTTATAGAACAACTCTTCCAGATTCCAGTGCAGTAAAGACAAGTAAATTTTGAACTATAAAAAACGAAACGAAATAGGATCTGTGTTTTAATCAGATTGAACCTCTATCTTAATAGGCTGGGACTTTGTTTTGTATCCGCTTCCAAATACAGTTAATAAATTGATCCCTAGCTGGTAAGAGTATGTGGTCTAGAGGATAAGTGTCAATACTGAACAGGTGCCTTTTTCACGAAACTATTTTAAGAATGCATGCTTTCCATTGGCTAAGAGGAATAAACTTTGACTAAGAATTTAATTCTCAACCAATCAAAAGGCTTCACCCTTAAAATATTCCGTATTCGGTTTCCACTATCACGATTCGCGCTACGATTGAAATCGTGGTTTTAATCGTGGTGAAATCTTATCATATATCGAGGTCAATCGTGGAAATTGTGTTGATCGTATCGAAACGTATCCGAACGTATCTTCACGTTTCAGATCGTGGACTCAATAGGGGCAATCCTATCGTAACACATCGCACGATAGTGGGATTCTAACATTACCATAGCAACGAAACCCGGTTCACCAATTGTCCCGATATGGTCGATCACGTATTATTATGAAGATGACGAACATTAAGGCTATATAAGATGGTTCGAAAGTTGATAATAATTAGCAAAAAGGTTTGGAAGAAAAGCAAAATCGTTGTTGATAGATACACAGATGAAATAATGAAAACACCAACAAGCTAAACTCTGTATCTAAGACAATGACGCATATGTATAGAATTAATGCTAAATGATAAGGCCAGCTCAATTTTCCGTCATAGGTCACGAGATGTAAACATGGCTAGTGCGAATCCAAAACCTAAATCCTAACCCTGGACCTAGAACTAGTGCTTACTCTAACCTACAACCTCGGCAACAATAACGTGTCTCAACCTTATTTACATCTCAACGACATGACAAAAATTGAGCTGGCCTTAACAAATAGATTTAGCCATATGTTAAGCCTATAAATTTTTGGCAAGATAAACGTCCTGGAACTTCCAGGTGCAAACCAAGAGAAAGTTATTTGTTTTATCCCATGATGGAGAAAAATGAGGGGCTAAGTGAGAGGGACACAATGGCATGCTTTAAGTCATGGTTTTGAGTTTTTGCGCCCCTCGCAAATGGTAAAAATCACGCGGTTTCAATGTGGTTTTCAACATTATAATCATAATGCTCAACCAGTGTCAAACATATACCGTGGGTCAGATATGCTACAAATGACTGTAGCATGTTCCACACAGCCCAATATTACGCGGCGGCACTGGAAGGGGCCCTCCACCTTCCCCCCAAACACATATAAATATTGTTTTTTGGGGGGCCCGGATGGGATCTTGTTCCCCATGCAAAATAATGGGTCACCTTGCCCCTGAAGACAATCCGGGCACATTTATATTTACAAACAATATACTATGTTAAAGATCCATTATGTAAGATTTAGGTAAAGAGCTGATCGTTCCTGTTATAATAGTTCATAAATAGATAATGAAAAATGAATACATTGAAAATTGCAGACATATTACTTTATTCGGTGTAAAGTTATGAGTGTTTGAAGTTTGGTAGTCTAGATTGTCATTGATACGATAATAAACGAGGTCTCTATTTACCATTATACCGTTAATCTATTCAATGGCGCTGATGGTCTTATCCACTTAATATCCAAGTCATCCGATGGTTTAAAAAGAGAGAAATGGGGTTTAACGCCAGTTGACTCAATGACAGACATTATGATACAGGATAGTTTGAAGAGTTGATCATGGGCTTGCCATATGAATAGCCTACATGTCTAGATAATAATTTAAATAACATCTGAAGCCAGAGAGTTGATTATAGGCTTGTCATGTTAATAAATGTTATTAAAGAGAGAGAGAGAGATAGAGAGAGAGAGAGAAAGAGAGAGAGAGTTGATTATGGGCTTGTCATGTTAATAAATGTTTAAATTATAATTTATATAACATTTGAAGTCAGAAAAAAAGGCCTTACAATAGGCAGATGTATCTCTTACATAATGCATCTCTAATATATTTGCGTAATGAGATCTTTTTTTAAAGTTTCTAAACCGTCTTTGACCAAGATAGCATTATTTTATAACAATAAACACACAGTGACAGCATTCTGATCAAAATACAGATCTATATTTCGTTTCGTTTTTTTATACTTTCAATGGCCTACACTACATGAAGATCTGACCGGTTGTTGCGATAGGTCATGTCAGAGGTCATACGAGCGGCTTTGACCCTATGACGTCAGACATTTCATTAACCAATCAGCATTGATGTTTCTAGTGGATTACCCACTGTTCTGTTGCAAAACACGCCTAAAGCTCGCCGTAACAGACCGTTTCATTGGTTAATACCTCACTACCACACATCATCCAGAACACGTCAATGATAACAACTCTTCCAAATCCTAGTGTAGTAAAGACAAGTAAAAACGAAATTTTGAACTATAAAAAACGAAACGAAATAGGATCTGTGTTTTAATCAGATTGATAGTAACAGCAAAGTAAGGCTTAAATTAAAAATTGTAATTAAATTATTTGATGCCTTTGAGTTTGTAAGTCCCAATAAAAGGTATTAAAGTTGATTTTTTTTGGAGAAAAAAGAAAAAAAAAAATCATTATGTAAACATTGAACATGCGAATCATTAAGTAAACAAATATTATGATACAATAAGGTGAGAGATGAGATGAGGAATGGTTCCACTATTGGTCATCTTCTGGAACGTCATCGTGACAAGAATTTCTGGTATTAAAGGACATTAGCACCATACTTAATTCATCTTTATCTATCTTACCATCATGGTTCAGGTCGCATTTCTTTAGCAAAATATCTTTAAATTCATCCATATCTTCAGCGTCATAATCCTGAAATGTGATCACAAATAATGGTTTAGTGGTATTTAGTAACTGGAGAGAGAGAGAGAGAGAGAGAGAGAGAGAAAGAGAGAGAGAGAGATGGGTTAAACGCCCACTCGACTCAAACTAGGTCATTTTGGGACTAACATATGATTTAATTTTATTTCAATAATTCGCTTGTGCGTAGGGGTTTTTATCAGTGGGAGGAAACTGGGGGACCCGGAGAAAACCCACGATGTTGGACAGGCGACCCTACTCCTTGCAGGGATCGAACACGCGACCTTCATGCTAGCGAGCCAGCGTCTTACCCACTTAGCCACCGTGACTCCCTGAAACGCCAGAGAGAGAGAGAGAGAGAGAGAGAGAGAGAGAGAGAAATGGGGTTTAACGTCCACTCGACACAAACTAGGTCATTTTGGGACTAACATATGATTTAATTTTATTTCAATAATTCGCTTGTGCGTAGGGGTTTTTATATGTGGGAGGAAACTGGAGGACCGGGGAAAACCCACGAGGTTGGTCAGGCGACCCTACTCCTTGTCACGTACAACTGGGGATTCGAAACAACGGTAGTTGACTCAATGACAGGCCTTATGATACAGCGCGCACGTGCTAACCATTCGACCACCCAACCCCCCGAAACGTCACAGAGAAGTGGAATTAAATGAAATGGGGTTTAACGTCGTGCGTGTCTGCACCAACCGGGCTAATGAAGACGAGAAACGTCATAGAGTGTAAGATGATATAACAAGATCAGAAATACTCTTACTTCTTGAACTAATTCCATCAAATCTTTCAAAAAACCAGTTAATTCTTCATTTTCAATCATATTGTTATTATCCTACAAAAAACAATCATCTTGTTATTATCTTCCAAAAACAGCCATATTGCTATTATCGTACAAAAACACAATCATATTGGTATTATCCCACAACAACAACCATTTGTTATTACCGTACAAAAACAATAATATTGTTATTATCCTACAAATTAATCATATTGTTATTATTCTACAAAAACAGTCATATTGCTATTATCGTACAAAAACACAATCATATTGGTATTATCCCACAACAACAACCATTTTGTTATTACCGTACAAAAACAATAATATTGTTATTATCCTACAAATTAATCATATTGTTATTATTCTACAAAAACAGTCATATTGTTATTATCCTACAAAAACAGTCATTTTGTTATTATCCTACAGATCTTTTTTGGCTTCAAATCTTATATAAACTATTATCTAGACATTTATTCAAACAGCAAGCCTATAATCAACTCGCTAGACCATCGGATTAGAACACCAGCAACGATAAAATGGATAATCGAGATTTATTCTCGGTTGTCAAGTACCGTTGCTACGATAATAAATGATCTACGCCACATCTTCAAACAGCCTTAACTTCACCCAGAATAATTCTGCGTCAAGGGCCCTGTTTCACGAAATTTCAACTAAAGATAAAATCCAATTATAGTAAATACTTCAATTTTGATTGGCTAAGCACTAAAATCAATCTAATATTATCCAATCAAATTACTAAAATTTGGATTTCATCTTGTTAAAATTCGTGAAACTGGCCCCTGGTGAGTTAATTTTATTAGTTCAGGAAAAACCGAAGGAAATTTAAAAATATAAGAAATTCGCCCACAAATGAGTGAAAACTAATTTTAAGACTAACATGGTTATTTATATTGACTATGGATAGGTCTCCATAGTGAAGGAAAGATCAGTGTTGCCTGGACCACAAAGTGCCAGCCCATTTGTTCCTATGGATTCCTGCACTAGTATACAAATGTATACACTTAGACACCTAGCCACGCTGCAAACAATTATCCCAAGCCACATGGATGGCCCATACTTCCGCTTTTCAACAAAATGCACTATGTAAATGTAAAAGCGCCAGCCACTCTCAATCTCTATCGCCATAGCGATGTTTTTGTATAATTACTGATAAACGACTGATTTGCTGGCAGACACAAACACTTACCCTATCATAAAGTTTAAATACACGGTTTATATCGTCACAGTTTAACTGTTTACCGCTCTGAAAAATACATTAATAGTTAACATCAAACCGCTTTCAATAGTATAGCAAATACACTTAGAGATTAAAACAACTGATAGAGAGAGAGAGAGAGAGAGAGAGAGAGAGAGAGACTTTGTTTAATGCCCACCTGACAAAAACTAGGTCATTTCGGGGATTAACATATGGTTCAATTTTATTTCAATAAATCGCTTGCGCGTAGGGATCTTTAGCAGTGGGAGGAATCCGAAGGATCCAGAGAAGACCCACGAGGTTGGACAGGCAACCCTACTCCTTGTCACGTACAACCGGGGAATCGAAACCACGCCAGTTGACTCAATGCCAGATCTTATGATAAAGCGCGCACGCGCTAACCATTCGGCTATCCACCCCCACTCATACAGGGCTGACTGAAAAGTTCTAAGTCTATCTGTGAAAAACCTGTACAGGTGTACACACTTTAGCCAACGATGTTGCAAGGCCTGGATGCATGTCAGGAAGAACTTTTCTTCAGCCACACTTAAAAAGTCACCATAACTAGTAAAATGATGATTGGCTAGTTCCCTTTTCATTTTTGGAAACAGGTCGCACCCATGGTTACAAATATGGCCAAAATATTACCAGGATTTGCTTCAAAAAGGCACAGATTGTCTCGGGATTTCAGAAATCTGACACGTTTCTCGTACCACAGACAAAAGCTTTGGCACCCATCTTGCAGAAACCTTTGTCATTCCTTACTCGTTGGCTACAATGTGTTCAACCCTTTCATGAGAGATGCCCACAACACCGGCAATATATCGAGTGGTCAGTCGTTGATCAGCCATCACCATGTCATGCACCCGGGTAATGTTTTCTTGAATGGTTGCTGTTGATGGCCCTCCAGGTCGTGGGTCATCGTCAAGACTCTCTCTGTCACGCTTAAATTCCACAGCCCACTTCTTTTGTATGGAAAAGTAAGGGACAGATTTAGCTCTTGCATAATGCATGTTTAAATTCCACAGCCCACTTCTTTACTGTAGGAAGAGGAAGGGGCGTCATCCCCTAAAGTGGAGACCATGTCGGCATGTATCTGTGTTGGGGTTAGTCAGTTCAGTTGCAGGTACTTGATGACTGCCCTATAGCCAGTTTTGTTCATTTCTGATTCACAAGATGACCGGGTACGAAGACAATAATAACACTACAGCTGCAGTTCTTATGTCTATGACCAATTTGATTAAAACACAGATACTATTTCGTTTCGTTCTTATAGTTCAAAATTTCGTTTTACTTGTCTTTACTACATTGACCTGTTCTGAATAATGTGAGGTAATAGCGAATGAAACGGTCTGTTACGGCGAGCTTTAGGTGTGTTTTGTACGGAACTGTGCATTATCAACTAGTAACATCAATTCTGATTGGTTAATCAAATGTCTTGACGTCATAGGGTCAAAAGACTGATCGCAAGACCTCTGGCGCGACCTATCGCCGTTCATATGACCTCTGACGTGACCTATCGCAACAACCGGTCAGATCTTCATGTAGTGTAGTCCATCGAAAGTATAAAAAAACGAAACGAAATATAGATCTGTATGTTAATCAGATTGGTCTATGATTCATTCGATGATTGTACTTGTTGGTGGCAAAACTTTGTTTCAATTCAATTGATCTACCCTTTTCAGGCTTAAAACTCTCCAGCCAGTCTTCGCATAATGATAGCAATTTGTATCGTTTAGCTGTTCGTTAACAGTAGTATTCTTGGTCTCTGAACACACAATAAATTGTGCTTTTAAAAAGTTAGCATGGCCTAGCAATTGTTTGTCGTTTAGACTCGATAAAGCATTACTTGGGATAGTATTGACAATGGACCATATGGCAAATTTCATAATCCATATTATAACTCGCAGGTTACCGTGACGATAAGACAGTTACGGCGCCTCGGCGCCTGTGTATCTCCGTTTCCATACGATAATAATGTTTTATTGCCTAATTTCAGATATTAATAACGACCTTGGAATAATAATCTCAAGAGAGAGAGAGAGAGAGAGAGTTTAACATCCACTCAACACAAACTAGGTCATTTTGGGACTAACATGGTTTAATTTTATTCAATAATCCGCATGCACGTAGGGGACTTTAGCAGTGGGAGGAAACCAGAGGACCCGGAGAAAACCCACGAGGTTGGACAGGCGGCCCTACTCCTTGTCACGTACAACCGAGGAATCGAAACCATACCAGTTGACTCAATGACAGGCCTTATGATACAGCGTGCAGTGCACGCGCTAACCATTCGGCCATCCACCCCCCCTCCCCCCTTGTTACATCAGACCACTGTAATTGTATACAAAGCACTGATATGGAATACATCATTCTCTTATAACAGCTTAACCGCTGATATTTTGGAGCTAAAAATTGACAAAAATCGGTCGCAACACATATAATAATATATGAATGTATATAAAATGATTTACATTCAATCGTTTCTGCTTTTACTGTAATTTCTAATCAGTTACGTTCGGCGAAATACGCCAGAACTCTCAATCGAATGGCAATCTCTAGTGCCTGGATGTTCCAGTCTACACCGATAGTGTTTGTTTCGCATGCTCTCCAGATAAGAATAGGGTGTCACCGTTTGACATGACTTGTGGCATATGTTTAGCCTCGTTCTTCGAGTTCATTGTTACAAATGGCACTGAAACACATATGGTACACGATTTGTGTACAAATGGTAAACTGTTTATTTTGTTTTAAATATTGGATACCAGAAGCTCATCTTTTCCCGGTAAGTTCACAACATCAATGTTGATTTAAATTGACAAATAATTCGTGTTTTCAATGTTGAAGACTTTGGATGATATTGAGTTAGAGACTCGGCTACTTTAAATAACAAATACCATGGGTAATTGATCCGAATTGGTTATGAAATACAATAGAATTCCATTAAAGGAATCCAGGCTATAGCGCCTCAATGGCTTTCAGTTGATAATGAATCACAAGACTACCATTTATCGCCTAGGGTTAAACTATTTGAAAGCTGCATCATGATTAGATTTTTATATATATATATACGTGTTTATTGTTTAAAATGTCTGTGTATATTGTGTATGATGTCCACGGGTTTGTCTCGTGTAATTGTATATAAAGAGAGAGAGAGAGAGAGAGAGGGAGAGGGAGGGGAGAGAGAGAGAGAGGAGAGAGAGAGAGAGAGGGAGAGAGAGAGAGAGGGGAGAGAGAAATGGGGTTTAACGTCCACTCGACACAAACTAGGTCATTTCGGGACTACCTATGATTCGATTTTATTTCAATAATTCGCTTGCGCGTAAGGTCTTTAGCAGGGGGAGGAAACCGGAGGACCCGGAGAAAACCCACGAGGTGACTTTTGACCACACATGATCTAACCAAGACCTAAACCTTTCTTACACGCACTGTTGTCGTCATCTAAATCCGACATGGCCGAAAAGGCTGCTATTAAAAATAACGCATGGGAACAAATGAAAAATGAAACTAAAATATTACAAACAAATGATAAATACCTTAAATACAGGCCTACACAGGAAGTTTTCTTTAACCGGAAGTAATCTAGAGAAAACGAGATTATTAAAAGATTAAGTTGACTGGGATTAAACTATAAACAAGCTCATTAATTAACCACCGATCTTACATAGGGAGATATTAGATGATATATCATGTTACTATATATTACAATACATAGGAAGATATTCCAATACAACATGGGTGATATATCACATAGGAATATATGGGAACGTATTACATTACAACATGGGAATATAATACAATATAGATGGTATACAACATGGGAATGTATTACAATACAATATATATGGTATATTAGATGGGAATATATTACAATACAATGTAGATGATATACTACATGGGAATGTATTACAATACAATATGGATGTTATACTACATGGGAATATATTACAATACCACATGGATGGTATATCACATGGGAAGATAATACAACATATACAGTGTAGATGGTATATTACATGGGAATATATTCCAATACAACATGGATGGTATACTAATTGGGAATATATTACAATATACAACATGGATGATATATTACATGAGAATATATTCCAATACAATATAGATGGTATATCACATGGGAAGATAATACAACATGGGTGATATACTACATGCGAATATATTACAATACAACATGGATTATCAGATGGAAATTTTATACAATATAAATTATTATTTGCAGATGAAATATGATTGTTTTCTTTCCAGATTGAATAAAGATTTGCATTTACAAGCGGAATATTGATTCATGGATGAAATATGGGTTGTTATCTACACAAATCATGCATTAATGTACGAGTAGAATATTAACCATCATTTAAAGTTCAATATAGAGAGAGATACAAATGGGGTTTAACGTCCATTCAACACAAACTAGGTCATTTCGAGACTAAAATATGATTCAATTTTATTTCAATAATTCACATAATTTTAGCAGTGGGCCGAAAACGGGGGTCGGACAGGCGACTCTATTCCTTGTCAGTACAACCTAGGAATCAAAACCACGCCAGCTGACTCAATGACAGACTTTATGATGCAACGCACACGCGCTTACCATTCGCCCCCACCCCCGCGTCCCCACCAAAAAGCAATAAATCTTTATGCATACTTACTTTGCCATCTCACTAAGTTGTAATTTGGCATCTCTATTCCTATCAAACAGTTGTAGCTGAAATGACATGCATTTAAAAATGTTATATGATTCCCAGAGTGCGACATTAAGCATTTAAATAAAACTGTGTTACTTGATATCGAGACAATCTGATTAAAACACAGATCCTATTTCGTTTCGTTTTTTTATAGTTCAAAATTTCATTTTATTTGTCTGTATTACACTAGGATCTGGAAGAGTGTTTATCCTGCGTTCTGGATTAGCAAATGAAACCATCTGTTACGGCGACTTCTTGGCGTGCGATGCACGGAACTGTGGGCAAACCACTAGAAACGTCAACGCTGATTGATTAATCAATGTCTGACGCAAAAGGGGTTTACCCACAATTCCTCGCAAAGAACATCAAGAACTCGCCGTAACAGACTGGTTCCTTGGCTAATTGCTCACATCAACTAGAACGCAGGATAACAACTCTTCTAGATCATAGTGTTGTGAAGACAAGTAAAACGACATTAATTTTAACGATAAAAAGCGAAACTAAATAGGATCTGTGTTTTAATCAGACTGATAGCGATACTGCCTTGTATAGACTTACTTCCTCTTCAACTGGACCTATAGAATGACACGTCAATACCTCAGTTTCAATTTGTGTGTAATATTTTTGTTTAAAGTTCCATACCATATATTATTAAAGTTCCATACCATATATTATTAAAGTTCCATACCATATATTATTAAAGATACATTATGTAAGATCTAAATCTACATATTCCACGACGTTTCTCTGACTTCAAAACTTATATCTATATTTGTGATTGTTTTTGTTCATTTGTCTGTCTGATGCAGGACAGAGGGGCTGACAAGGACAGCTGTCTAGTCGTTCGGATGGGACGAAAAACCGAGGTCCCGTGTACTCATTGGCGTGCACGTAAAAGATCCCTTGACAGTTGGAATTCGATATAAGAGTAGGCCGGAGTGCCGCTGTCCGGGCAAAATTCCCCCCATAGCACACTGTATGGCGTATGCCCGTCTTCATTAGCCCAGTTCGGAGCAAAACAGTAGGACGTTAAACTCCATTTCATTTCATTTCATTTATCATTTGTCTGTCTGTTCACGGTTGGCGGCTACACTAGGGCTGTCCCGAGGCTGAACTTTGGTATATAAGGGTAGGTAGGGGATCACGTGGCTAAGTGGGTAAGACGCTGGCTCGCTAGCCTGGAGGTCGGGTGTTCGATCCCTGCATTGGCCGAGAAAGTTCATCTAGATTTTCTGGCGTGGTTCCCCCTTGTCAGTGATGCGGGACGGAGGGCCTGACAAGGACAGTTATCTATTCCTTCAGATGAGACGAAAAACCGAGGTCCCGTGTATACATTGGAATGCACGTTAAAGATCCCTTGGCAGTTGGAAATCGATATAATTTCCCTCATAGCACACTGTATGGCGTATGCCCGTCTTCATTAGCCCAGCATAGGAGCAGAACAGTAGGACGTTAAACCCCATTTCATTTCATTTCATTTATATAAGGGTAGCTTGGACCAGGGAGTAACATAATGTAAATGGCGTTGGCCTACCGCTTCCGGTTTCGGTGTTACGGGCAAAATCCGAACAGCACCGGGTTATCCACTAAGATATTATTATTTAGACATTAATTCACATTGCAAGCCTAAAATCAACTCACTAGGTCATCCGGTGGCCGAGTTTTAAATGGATTTGGACACCGGCGACATTTAAAAATTCGACAAACAGTCATAGCGTCACCTAGAATAAATCAACTATTGTAGCAGGAACCTCCAGCTCTTCATCAAAATCTTACATAATGTATCTTTAAATAATAGCAGGAACCTCCAGCTCTTCATCAAAATCTTACATAATGTATCTTTAAATAAAATCTATAATAAGTAAATATACATTTACCATTGTGTCAGCATACTCGATCAATTTTTCTTCACTAACTTCAATATCCTTCTTACATTGTTTTAACAAATCTTTCAGAAACTCCTGAAAAACAAAATCGACATGAACGATGATTGAATAAGCGACCACAGAATGAAAATTCCTGCGTGGATGTATCAAAAGTCTTAAAGGGACAAATATCCGTTTTTTTTTAATTCTATACCAATTTGACGTATTTTTGGAGCTGCGGTGACTCAGTTAGTAAAGCGGTCGCTTACTAATCAAAAAGTCCGGGATTCGATCTTGGTGTAGGCCGAGAGCATTCCTCCAAACTTCCCAGTGTGTACTTTAGATCGTAAGGACTGACATTGAGTTAAGTGACGTGGGTTAGATTCCAAGCTTGCATGCAAAAACGAGTAGGACCGCCTGTCCTACTTCCTGGATTTACTCCAAGCCCCACGCCCCTTCCACTGCTAAGGACATACTCTCCATGTAAGCGAATTATCAAAATGACCTAGTTGTGTCGAGTGGACGTTAAATCCCCTCTCCCCCTCTCTCTCTCTGTCTCTCTCTCACACTCTCTCTCCAAGTCTTACCTTTAGTTCATCTGCCTCTATATAACCACTGTTATCCTTATCATACTGTCGCCATACCTATAACAAAACACCCATATTACTCACAGTAAAATATAATATCAGAAGTTTATTTCTGTATGAGCCAAGGCAGCGGCAATAAAACAATGTTGTGTCTACGCCACTCTCTGTGCGGTGACATAATGTTTAAGTGGCATAAAGTAATTGAACACATATATTGTTATTGTCTGCCTTATGCACGAAAAACATAATTTAAATTCCTTTAAAGATTGAAAATCCGTTAAAGACTGAACATCCTTTAAAGATTGAAAATCCTTTAAGGTTTGAACATCCGTTAAAGATTGAACATCCTTTAAAGATTGAAAATCCTTTAAGGTTTGAAAATCCTTTAAAGTTTGAAACCTTTATGAATGGAAAATTCTTTATGGATGGAAAATTCTTTAAAGATTGAAAATCCTTTAAAGATTTAAAATCCTTTAAAGCTTGAAAATTCTTTAAAGGATTTAAAATGCTTTAAAAATTTAAAATCCTTTAAAGATTTAAAATCTTTTAAAGATTGAAAAACCAATAAAAGATTGAAAAACCCATAAAAGATTGAAAATCCCTTGAAGATTGAAAATCCTTTGAAGATTAAAAACCTTTTAACGATTTAAAATCCTTTAAAAATTAAAAATTCTTTATAAAATTTAAAATTCTTTAAAAGTTTAAAATCCTTTAAAGATAATATATACTATTCTTTGCCTTTAACCTGACTAATGAATATTTCAGTTTTTTTTAATATATATAGGCTCCACTAACTTGAATAGAATTATAGAGAATGAATAAACTTTCAGAATCATTATTAAGTTATATTAACCACGCGTTCCAGCATCTACATTAATATTATCATTATAAAATGTTATGAATAAATTTGTACATAATATCAGAACAATAACACCGTTTAATTATAACTTGAAAAATTGTAATAAAAACAATCAATAAAAGTCATATTATTGTTTTCTAGCAACCCCAGTTCTACTGCTTTTTATATGACTATATTTATATTAAACAGGCATTATGCAAGTGCTAAATCCATCTATTTAATTGCAGGTTTTTATTTAGGTCTTAAATGTTATATGAATTATTAATTAGACATTTATTAACATGACAAGACCATAATCAACTCTCGATGCCATTGGATGGCTCAGATTTTAATTAGATTAAAAAGATTTGGCCATTTAATGATTTAATTTAAAAATAAAGAAGATAGTCTAAGACTCGAATGGCCAGTGCGGTGGTTACGATCAATGCACACATCTCGTTAAAACTACGATCTTTTATAACTTCGCTCAAAAAAAGTAATTTGAATGAAATTTTTAATATATTCACTTTGCATTATCTTTGTTTTATGACATATTATAGCGATAACATCCAGCTCTTTATCTAAATCTTACATAATACCTATTTAAATTGACCTTCAACAATGGATTAGAACGAAGGTGACAGGGTGAGTATGGTGCTGGTTTGCTAACCAAACGATCCTGGAAACCTAGGGATTATCCATCCACGCTGAATATTCAAGTCGTTCGGATAAGACAAAAAAAAAACCCTGAGACCCCGCGTATACCATTGGTAGCAAGATAAAGATACCCCGACAGTAGCAGATCGACAGTACGAGTAAGCTGCCCAGGCAAAATTTCCCTTTAACACACTGCATGGCTTACCATTCGTCATTATCCTGGTAGGTGCAAGACAGTAGAACGTTAAACCGTATCTATATATCTGATTAACTCCAATAACCTCGGTTTATATACTTTATATACCCAAAGTAGGGTGATCGATGACCAAATGGTTAACGCGTGCACATTGTATTATAAGGTCTGTCATTGAGTCAACTGGTGTGGTTTCGATTCCCCAGTTGTACGTCGTCTGTCCAACCTCGTGGGTTTTCTCCGGGTCAACCGGTTTCCTCCCACTGCTAAAGACCCCTACGCGCTAGAGAATTATTGAAATAAAATAGAACCATATGTTAGTTTGTATCTAGTGGACGTTCACCCCCTCTCTCTCTCTCTCTCTCTCTCTCTCTCTCTCTCTCATTGAGTCAACTGGCGTGGTTCCGATTCCCCGGTTGTACCTGACAAAAAGTGGAGTTTTCTCCGGGTCCTCTGGTTTCCTCCTACTGACCTAAGGGTTAGCCCCGAAATGACCTAGTTTGTTTCGAGAGGACGTTTCCCCCCCCCCCTCTCTCTCACTTCTCAATGTAGCAGCTTGATATTAACCCAGGAATGTCACTAATGTATAAAATATCAATTATTTCATCACTTTGTATGTGTATATAGCTATAGACAGACAGCTGGTAGTATATGAGAAAACCTATTGTTATAAGCCATTAATTTAATTTTTTTTAATGATATTGCTTGGTTATTAAGCGTCATCGACAGATATAGATATACATACATGTATAATTGGATGCATCTATGAATATTTTATATTGGAATTAGTAATAATTAAAACGGGATTCCAATCGTGTGAATAAGAGAGAGAAAGAGAGAGAGAGAGAGAAAGAGAGAGAGAGAAATGAGGTTTAACGTCCATTCGACACAAACTAGGTAATTTCGGGACTAACATATGGTCTAATTTTATTTCAATAATTCGCAGTCTTTAGCAGTGGGAGGAAACCGGAGGACCCGGAGAAAACACATGAGGTTGAACAGGCGACCCTACTCCTTGTCACGTACAGGTCTTATGATACAGCACGCACGTGCTAACCATTCGGCCATCCCCCCCCCCCGTGTGAATAAGATTTATAATAAACAAGCTGATAACCCTTGACAATCTGGTTAAAACACAGATCCTATTTCGTTTCGTTTTTTATAGTTCAAAATTTTATTTTACTTGTGTTCACAACACTAGGATGTGGAAGAGTTGTTATATAAAAGGCGTTCTGTTTGATGTACGGAATTAGCCAATCAAACGAAACGATCTGTTACGGCGAGTTCTTGGCGTGCTGTGCACGGAACTGTGGGTAAACCACTAGAAACGTCACCACTTATTGATTAATCAATGTCTGACGTCATAGGGTCAAAAGCCGCACGACCTCCCACTACTACCGGTCAGATCTTCATGTAGTAGAGACCATCGAAAGTATAAAAAAACGAAAAGAAATATTGATTAGACTCAGTTTAGCAAAAAAACGATCCCCTGGCAGATGGAATTCGATATAAGAGTGGGTCATAGCGCTGCTGCCCGGGCAAATTGCCCTCATAGCACACCGTATGGCGTATGTTCGTCTTCATTAGCCCAGTATAGGAGCAGAACAGGGAGAGAGAGAGAGAGAAATGGGGTTTAACGTCCACTCGACACAAACTGGTTCATTTCGAGACTAACAAATGGTTCAATTTTATTTCTATAATTCGCTTGCGGGCAGGGGTCTTTAGCGGTGGGAGGAAACCACAGGACCCGGAGAAAACCCACGAGGTTGGACAGGCGACCCTACTCCTTTTCACGTACAATAGGGGATTCGAAACCACGCCAGTTGACTCAATGACAGTCCTTATGATACAGCACGCACGTGCTAACCATGCGGCTATCCAACCCTCCATCGTTGATAAGATATGCAATATAAATTAAAAGTAGAATGACACTTTAAAATGAGGAAACAATGCCACCTGCAAACAACTAGTACCACGACATATCTGTTAAATTGCAACTGACATCAGTGTCTTCAGGCCAAACGGTAGTAATGTATTATGTATGAAACATGTCGTTCGAGTGGTTCTTGAATCAGATAACACACTCATTGCTATCGCTAAAATGTACGATATGACTTCAAGATAGTGTAAGTTGTAGGTTATCTCTGAATTATTTTATAACAAGCAAACAAGGAACAGAATAGACTTTATGACATGCCACAAAGAACGAATGCACATTATATATGTCACCGACGACACTTGCAAATCTCTCTCAAATATATGGAGGGCGGATCCAGAGGGGATGGGGGGATGCAAATCCAAGCCTGATCAACTACATACAAAAAGAATTGTGAGACAGAAGTGTGACGGTCGTGTGCTTTATATCCTTAATCATCAGATGGTGGGATGGGATGGGCATTCAAAGCATCAAATAATGATATAGGCATATGTGATGTCACAATTAATGCTTTGCATCAATGAAATTGAATCACAATGTGATCCTATTATTTCACCATAAAAATTGACATCAACGGGGTGTTAACAGTCCCACCTCTTGGGTTTTCTCGGAGTCCCCCGGTTTCCTCCCATTGAAACAAAATTGAGTTTGTGTTGAGTGGACGTTAGACCCCATTCCTATATTGCTCTCTCTTTAAAAAAGTTCATTGTGTATGTATGCCTGCGTAATTTAGAGACGATGGTGGCATCAAGCATTGTTAACTGGCAAACCCCCTACTGCAAAACTTCCTGGATCCACCCTGATATGGTAATGATATCACGATATGACAATGTAAAGACATGTTTTCTGTGTTCTTTGGTCGTTAGTTTGTTGTACTGTTATCAGAGTGGAACTTGGAATACAGCTGCTAGACTGTTACCTGGAACTACTTGTAAATGCGCGGGAATAACGAATCCAGGAGGGAGAAGAGGAACTTGGAATACAGCTGCTAGACTGTTACCCGGAACTACTTGTAAATGCGCGGATCCAGGAGGGAGAAATATCGGCTATGTGATAGTTGCCAACTGTTGCTAATATATAGAACATAACAGGTGAAGGTTATTAGGGTAAAAACCCTTGATGGGCGAATTTTCGTACATTTCAACCTCACACCTACTCAATTTCAATGGTTCTTTCCAATATACCATTGTTACGCCATAATATAAGTTACCATAGTGATTATCTAGAGTACCTACCTTCATAAATTCTACACTAGAGTCCAATGGATTATCTCTTCTAAACAACAACAAAAAGTTTTCTTCCATTGGTAAAAGTTGTGCTAACTGAAAACATTACGTTACACACAGAATTATATTTCTTAATAATCCCGTCAAACCGGGGTGGCGTCCTTACTGCGCCGCTGCGACCGTACGGCGACCAGAAAATACACAAGGTCGCTGGCAAACATGAACACAACACGCGAAAATGTCCCAAAAATTACAAACTTGTAAAAGTTGCGTTTTCAATTACATATTTGAAAAGATAAAAGCAAAAAAAAAAAAAAAAATGAATACAGATCTGGAAAGAAAGGGAAGGTTATACTTATTAATTAATGGGGGTGGGTGGCCGAATGGTTAGCACGCGCGCGCTGTATCATACGGTCTGCCGTTGAGTCAACTGGCGGGGTTTCGAATCCCCGATTGCACATGACAAGGAGTAGGGTCGCCTGCCCAACCTCGTGGGTTTTCTCCGGGTCCTGCGGTTTCCTCCTACTGTTAAAGACCCCTACGTGCAAGCGAATTATAGAAATACAATTGAACCATGTGTTAGTCCCGAAATGACCTAGTTTGTGTCGAGTGGACGTTAAACCCCACTCTAAACCACGACGTGACGATGACACATTGACAGCCCTAAATAGTCGGGGTGTGACGCTTAAGATCACCCTACACCTGAAGGGGGGGGGGAGAGAGAGAGAGAGAGAGAGAGAGAGAGAGAGGTTTATCTCCATTTGACACAGACTAGGTCATTTCGGGACTAAAATATGGTTCAATTTTATTTCAATAATTTACTTGCGCGTAAGGGTCTTTGTCAGTGGGAGGAAGCGGAGGACCCGGAGAAAACCCACGAAGTTGGACAAGCGACACTACTCCTTGTCACGTACAACCGGGGAATTGAAACCACACCAGTTGACCCAATGACATACCTTATGATACAGCGCGCATGTGCTAACCATTCGCCCTCCCCCCAGTCCCATAACAGAAGGAAAAGATATCAATGGCCATGCAGAACAAAACTCTAATACTTTAATCAATAACATAGACCAGTGATATCGATTATCGATTTCCTACATGATGTTTGATAAATTCGACCATCCATTAAAAATGGCGGAGCAAACTATGGAATCACCCGAGCATTGTACACATCATTTATCACGTCTGGGACTCCATTTCCGGTTTACGGTGTAGGTTACAATCGTCTGCATCTGAACCATTCACATTTACCAGACATAAAATATCAACATCCGGCTTCAACTTGTCACGCCATGTTTATTAAAGTTAAGATACAATCTACACGTGGTACTAACCTCGGCTATATCTATTCGACCATCATTATTTTCATCAAATGCATTCATAACCAGAGCTTTAGCATCTTCTAAGGCAGCCTTGGATACAACCTGAATTTATAGATAAAATTAAACATTAAAAACTAAATGAAATGGGGTTTAACGTCCTACTGTTCTGCTCCGAACAGGGCTAATAAAGACGGACATACGCCATACAGTGTGCCATGAGGGAAAAGTTGCCCGGACAGTGGCACTATGGTCTACTCTTATATCTAATTCCAACTGCCAAGGGATCTTTTACGTGCACGCCAATGTATACACGGGTTCTTGTTTTTTTGTACCATCCAAACGGCTAGACAGCTGTCCTTATCAGGCCTCCCATTCTGCTTGGTTATAAATGAAATGAAATGAAATGGGGCTTAACGTCCTGCTGTTCTGCTCCGAACAGAGCTAATAAAGACGGACATACGCCATACAGTGTGCCATGAGGGAAAAGTTGCCCGGACAGTGGCACTATGGTCTACTCTTATATCTAATTCCAACTGTCAAGGGGTCTTTTACGTGCACGCCAATGTATACACGGGTCCTTAGTTTTTCGTCCTATCCGTTCTTCACCACGCCGGAAAATCCCAATGAACTTTCTCTGTCAATGCAGGGATCGAACACGTGACCTTCAGGCTAGCGAGCAAGCGTCTTACCCACTTAGACATTAAAAAAACATCAACATCAATAATTTAAAAAACATTCTGCAACTGGAGAGTCTTATGTCCTTTTCAAAAAAACTATGTTTCTCGCCACCATGACCCAGCAACAAAAGGATAAAAAGACAGCGACCGTTTCTTTTATCAGTTTATAAGCAAACAGTATATCGGACACAACACTTCTTAAAGACTGAAGCTATTGGAGATAATTTAACCACTCAATCGGATTAAAACACAGATCCTATTTCGTTTCATTTTTTATAGTTCAAAATTTCGTTTTACTTGTCTTTGCTACACTAGAATCCGGAAGAGTTGTTATATAACCATCTTTTAAGGCGACTTCTTAGCATGCGATGCTCGGAACTGTGGGTAAACCATTAGAAACGTTAACGCTGATTGATTAATCAATTTCTGACGTCATAGGGCCAAAAGCCGCTAGTGCGACCCCTGGCGGCACGACCTCTCAATGCAACTGGTCATGTAGTGTAGGACATTGAAAGTATAAAAGAAAGAAACGAAATATAGATCTGCTCACATTCTAGTCTATATTTCTATGAGCAGAAGAACTAAAATGACGTCACGGATTGTTTATTGGTGGAAAGTTATGACTACTCACGGAGAACGGCGGAAATTACTAATGTTGAAATTTACCTGTTCAGGTAATATTGACTTTCGGATTCGTGTTATACTTATGGAAAGGATATGTTGACATAATTACTTGCATTTTTAAAAAAATTTATGAAGCTTTTCCAGTGACCTTTAAAATACTTGTTTATTTTACAAATGGCTATGAATTTCCTGACTAACGATTTGATTTGAAAGAAAATATGATTGCATTGTTTTACGAGGAAACACGGTAATAAAATATAATTAAATGACGAATTGTTGGAGATATTACATAAATAAGTGTTGCGTAAATAAATATAAAGGAATCGTCAGGTGATTAAATAATTCTAATGTTTTGCTTCACTCCTCTGAAATTGATTTGGTAGCTTACTCTTCATAAAAGAGAATTTTCAAAAAAAAATAGCCAATATCACAGAGTGGAATAAACTACTGAATAATATTAAAAAAAAACCACACACAAAATGAAAAAAAAAATCAGCCGATTATATTAATGCTCATGATGAAATTGCAAAAGAAACAGGTAGTCGAAGGTAGATGATCGTCCTTCACCCTAGTGAAAATGATAGCTTACGATAATCTCTCTGAAACTCGCACTTCATTAAAAAAAAACTTTCAGGAGATATATTACAAAACATTTTTTAAAAAAATTATAGCTTTTGATAATCTCTCTAAAACCTGCACTTTATTAAAAATAATTTTCAGGAGATATGTTGCAAAAAAACCCGAAAAAACCTTTTTTCACTCTTCTGAAGATAATAGCCTTGGATAATCTGAAACCTTTCTCAAAGAAATATTCATCATCCCCAAAACAAAGAATCCTCCACTATAATTAAAGGAGCTAAATCGCTAATATTTGGGACCTAGAAATTGACACAAATAGGTCGCAACGCATATAATAATGTAATATGTTATATATAAACTGATTTACATTCAATCGTTTCTGTTTATACGGTCATTTCTAATCAGTTATGTTCGGCGAAATACGCCAGAAGTCTCAATCGAATGGCAACCTCTAGCGTATGGTTATCCCAGTCTACATCGATAGCATTTATTGCACATGCTCTCCAGGTAAGAACATAGGGCCACTGTTTGACATGACCTGTGGAATATGTCTATGCCTCGTTCTGCGAGTCCCTTAGAAATGGCGCTGAAATGCATTATGGTACACGATTCGTGTACCAATGGTAAAATGTTTATTTTGTCTTAGATATTGGATATCAGAAGGCCATCTTTTCCCGGTAGGATCACAACATCAATGTTGATTTAAATTGACAAGTAATTCGTGTTTTCAATGTAGAAGACATTGGATGATATTGAGTTAGAGACTTAGCTACTTAAAACAATACTGACGTCGAAGACTTTGGATGATATTGAGTTAGAGACTTAGCTACTTTAAACAATACTGATGTCGAAGACTTTGGATAATATTGAGCCAGAGACTTTGCTACTTTAAACAATACTGATGTTGATATTGCAAAACAAACAAGAGAAAACGTTTCTTCACTGCCCTAAAACGTTAGCTTAACGATAATCGGAAGCACAGTCTCCATAAAAAAAAATTAACTGTAAGAAACTTTCATCATCACATGTGGAAAAAAAACCCTCTACTAACATTAAACCTCATTTACTTTCTGGTTTTATGGTAATTGTCCTGTCAACCTCTTCAAGCAAACAAATATTAAAAAACATGTTTGTCAAGCATAAAACAGCGTTTACGCAATGGATAATTAAAGATACATTATATACTATTCAAAAAAAGTAGGGGATATTTGATTTTGGGGGCATAATACTAAAATATGCAAATGACTACGAAAAAAGTCACTATAGAACCTAACAGAAGAAACATTTCCAGTTACATGTGACGCCCAAACGCACCAATAGCTACCGCATGGAATGCAGGTGATGCTTGGGATCATCATGGGGGTCCAACCCAAGATTTGCACGACTCTGACTTTGAATGTTACAGTCATTGTGGCATTGAATTCCAGGGTGGAAACATCAGTTTAATTGTTTTAGTGACCAGAAAACAAATTTTGATATGCGTCGGCTTACCCAAAATAAAAGGTTACGTGCTCTTGGCATGCTACAGATCGGCACAACACAGGCGGTTGTGGCGCGGACGATGAATGTTTCTCAGTCTGTCATAAGCAGGCTATGGTCCAGATACCGTGATACACAATCTGTACAGGACAGACCACGTTCAGGTCGACCAAGGGCGACAACTCAAGCCCAGGATCGATTTATCCGTACCTTGGCCTTGAGAAATCGTGTCATCACAGCAAATCAGATCAGCGCTCGTCTTCAAACAGACACTGGTGTGAGAGTGAGTGGTCAGACGATTCGGAATCGACTGCATAGGGGTCACCTTCGCGCCAGACGTCCTCGCGTGATCCCTTGTTTGAGAGATCATCACATTCAGGCAAGACGTCGTTGGTGTAAGGATCGTCAACACTGGGATAATCGACGCTGGAGCAATGTGATGTTTTCAGATGAGTCAAGGTTCACTGTTGATTTTTGGACAGACGTAGGAGGGTGTGGCGTCGTCGAAACGAGCGCTTCCAAGACGTTAACGTCATCAGACATGATCGATTTGGGGGTGGTTCTGTTATGGTGTGGGGAGGCATCACTGTTGCTGGAAGAACGGCTTTACATGTTGTTGCAGGGCGTGTTACAGGCCAGTACTACCGGTACAACATCTTGGCAGTCCATGTTGTGCCGTTCGCACGACGTCATGGCCGCCGTTTCATCTTCCAGGATGACAACGCAAGATGTCACAGGGCCAGGATCGTTACAGGTTACCTCCAACAACAGAACATCACCACATTACCTTGGCCAGCACCGAGTCCCGACCTCTCCCCCATCGAGCATGTCTGGGACATGCTTGGACAGAGGTTACGTCAACGTCAACAACGTCCTGCCAATGTCCAAGAACTTGCTGCTGCGTTGCAACAGGAATGGGACAATCTGGACCAAAATGACCTTAGACGTCTCATTAGGAGTATGCCACGTCGGATCAATGCTTGTTTGGCAAACAGAGTAGGATTTACCCGTTACTGACTTGGTTGTGATGCTGTGGTAACTTTGCTGTTTGACCCCGGGTATCATTTTACCCTTATAATGGTCAGTCTGTGCCTTACTTAGTCTAACGATCATTTGGAATAAATCGATGAATGTGAACTTCATTTCATTTTGTCATTTGTTTCTTCGTCAGTTTCATTAGGTGACTTTAATAACACTTAAAAATCAAATATCCCCTACTTTTTTTGAATAGTATATAGGAGATTAGATAAAGAGCTGGCAGTTCTCACTATCATGGGAATTTGCTGAAAATTTCAGTCAAATTGATCCACTCTGAACTGAGATTTTACCGATTGAATTTTCGGCCTAGCCTCGATCATCATTATTAAAGTCTATACAATAAAAACCATAGTCTCGATTATCCATTTCATGGCTTAATCATGAATGAAAGTTGAGCACCAAATAAGATCATAATCCAGTAAGTATGACAAGCTAGCTTTCACACCGAGAGTTGATAATGTCTAATTACTAAATTTAGATAACATGTCCGACCTAAAGAAAAACCTACAATAGGAAGATTAAGCTCTTGCATAATGTATGTTTAAATGCAAAGAGAAAGGAATTCAAGTCACTTGAGTAAAATTAACCTAAGATGAGAAATCTTGGATCATAATGTGTTCTTCTAATCTATTTCTGATTTTTGACAATTTATCACGTTGATCAAATAAGTGTGGGAATAGAAGTCTGGGTTGAACTTTGTCTATG